AGGCAAGAAGGCGCCATGTTAACCTATAGGGATCATTTTTCACCTGTCGCTCCCAGAGTTGCTGAGCTGTGAAAGTTTGGCTGCTGCACTTCACTGGACGGCTTTGTATTATATATCTCTGAATACTCCTCTGCATTAGTATTTTGTGGCTGGTTCTCACGTCTTAGGTGTGGTCGATATGTTGACGTTTAACTTTTACCTATTAACATAAGTTTTAATTTCCTCACTTCACCTTAATTGGTTAATTCCCCATCCCTCATGAATGCCAAGTAAACAAGATGTCTAAGTCCAATCAACCGCAGGACCTTTTTCTAAGCCCAGCATAACCATGACACAAACTGATTAGGAAAGGGGCATGACGACTGCATGCGAGATGGAAAATGTGTTCTCATTGGCTTCATGCGTGATGAAGCCAGAGTTTCTCTGTCACAAACAGGACAGTAACATTACATACAGAAATTGAATAAAACATTCACCTTTACTCATGCGCTAGTTCTGTTAGGATGGAATGATGTCTGAAGGGTATAGTCAGATTTTATTAAAATATTGATGGTAAAATAATACATTATTTGGATACAGGTACAATAGACTTGCTCTATTGTAAAGTTATAGTAGCAAACAAAAAGGATCCAAGGCACTCTGTAGTCAGTAATAAAGTCCTGTATTAAAATGGACACCAGGACATCATCATTATTGAGAGCATGGTCAGGGTCAGAGATGGTGGTGTTATGATGTGCGGTCTATCCTCAGGCTGACTGTTCGAGTGAAAAGTAAAAGCTACACAAAACGTGCTTATGCCTGAAAACAGAATGCTCAAAGATGGTGCCTATGTTTGGAAAAGATGTGGTTGTAAGAATTTTATATCAGGCCTTTTTTGCTAGACATTTAGTTTGAAAGAGTTTGACCGGTTTGGAGGTAAAGACACACACTGCGTTCAGCTGTTTGTCTTCTTTAGTCAAAGCATGACCAAAGTGGACTTAAAAGGAGTGGGAAATGTTTCACACTTGATTGAACAGAGAAGCACGGACTTCTGTTCCTCCCTAAATGTGCCTTAATGCCCTCTGGGACCATGGGCTTGGCTGCTGTTATAAATACATTGTTGGTGGTGATGCGTGAGGCAGTATTTACATGGCTCATAGGAACTCCCTTTGTTCGAGGACAAACAGAGCTGACGCTATCTTTCCTCCACTTTCTCTCCGGGTTAAGTCTCTATATTCCTCTGGGAGTCTTGCTGACTTTATGGACTTCTATCTCCATTCTTAGCATCAGATATCTCTGGAAGAAGCTGTTCCTTCAGGAAATCTTCAACAAATGGGCAGAAGTCACGTTGTTACAGAATGAAGTTCTGCAGTTTAATTTTAATAGTGTTTTGGACAAGTGCAATTCCTCAGTTGTATGCATGCAAACAAACACAGATCCATTACTTACTGTAACATGACCTAAAGGATTCAAAACCATAAATATATACTGTACATAACATTAAAATCTACACAATTAATTCCTTATTAACATTTTCATCCAACTCCCAATCCCAAAAATCAAGCTAAACAGCAACATTAAGAAAAAAAGAATTTCGAACATCTTGAACCAATCATTGAGTGGTGTCTGCATGACCCAGCCTTCCTAAAACATGCATCTTAGTGAGAAATGTTTGTCAATGATGAATGCATGTGAGAAAAAGGTCCATAGTTGTTAAGCTTCAGTTGGACCCATCTTGTCCTGCCAAAAAGATCAGTACAATCACCATAGAGATTAACAGTATATTTACCTCCTGGACATTTCCATGAAGCATTTGTTACGCTCCTTATTTCCCTTGCAAATTAAGGCGCTTCAGTAACTGAACTTTTCCATATTAGGGCCTGTAATTTTTCTGTTCTCTGGTAAAGCAGGGAAAAACTGTTTATCACTGTATTTGAGTTTAATTATGTCAACCCCTAGAATGAAGAATCTAGTTTATGAGTTTACTGAACTCTTTCCCAGTAGAGCTATAAATATGACGATGAAATAAGTTCATGATAATATTCATGTTGTAGTTTACAGCCACAGAGTGAATAAATAATGTTAAATAAAGTGCCCTTGAGTGTTAAAAAAGTGCTACTATATGGCTTGTAGTTATATGGATAGTACAAAATCCACCACAATGTAAAAAGGAACTTCTGACTGTAATATTGACAGGACTACCTTTTGGAAAACAATCTTTGTATTATTGAGAGACAATCTACTAGTGTGACACAATGGTGTATTTCCATTGTGCTAAACTAGATTTTCTCTCAATAATCAGAAAGATTCTAATACTAACATATTTTTGGTCACAATTATCACACCATGGAAATTGAATAAAAAGGGTGAGACACAAGGAGGCAATTATTGAAAAGGCAAGCAGTATTTTGCACAAATAACCATGAGGCGGGAGGTCAGTCACCTTCTTATCTATGGATAAGTAATGGCTTTGTCTGGACTGTGCAAAGTCTAAAGTCAAAACCATTAAATGCAAAAAGTTTCACATAATGTTTACCATTTATTTTTGTATTGTGCAAATGGAGCCCCTTTTTATTGTATTTTTGTCACTGGTCAGACTCTTCTGTCGTTTCTGTCTGCGAATTCGTCAGCCGTGTGCATTGTGAGACAGCAGCTCAAATAATTTATGAGCCATTTTACCTCCAGGTGTCACAATGATACCGCAATAAGAAGTGTAACTGGGCAGATTGGACTTGGACATCCACCATTGATAAAGTTGATAAATGGTAGCCGCGCAGAAGAGACTAATGGCTGAAGCTGAGACTAGACACTTTTATCTCCTTTTCCCTCAGTCTTGTGTTTTTACTCTTCTTTCCCATCTCTTTTCTTATTATCTGACTCACTGTGTAATTAGATACAACAACACTAGTCCATCCTTTACTACAAATACTTGATTAAGAAGCACTTGTAGAGCGCAGAACCTCCACCTAGAGGCGCAGTTCTTTTCCAAAATCCACTTGGATCACCTCCCAAACGGTTTCAGAAGACCATTGACCTTGTTTCCTGAACTTAAAAAAAAAAATCAACAGACAAATGCTGGTGATCACTTTGCAGAGGTAATTTACACTTTTATGTTGTTCTTTAAAATGTGAATATTATGATTGAAAGTGGCATGTGACAGGTTATACTACACTTTCACTTAAACATAGCCTATTCAAAATTAGAATTGTAAAAAAAAATGTCTAGTTTTTACATTTTGTCTGCTAAAAGTAGTCATGTTTCTATGACATTTTCTATTTTTCACCCAGGTTTGACAGATGCAACATATATACTGTGGCATACAAGTTATCACCAAAAGTGTTGCATTATAAACAAGGGCCTCAGCACCATTAATGTACACAAATGATTATAGTTGTATTTTCTGGCAGAGGCTGAGTAATTATTCATAGGACCCGAAGTTTTCAAAGTTATTCTGCAAAATTGTCAGCATTTAGAATTCCCATCCAGAATTCATTTTCAAATCTGAATGTAGTTGTTATTTAAAGAGAAAATGGCAAAAACCTTCAATCTCGAGAAGTGGAAAGCTAGAAATGAAAATTGTTACAGGCCCCATTTTATTTTATTTTTTTAAATAGCATGTATTATTTTGTTCTATTTCACCGCAGTCTGTTACTTTGTTGTGGTCTTTAAAACATGTATCCACAACATGTACAAAGCAAGGCAAGGCAATCTTATTTGTATAGCACAGTTTATACACAATACATGAAAGTGCTTAACATCACAAGACAAGAAATCACTGTAATATACTTTTAAAAAATGGTATCGGGTTCAGCAGTAAATATAGTTCTCCCACAGCACATAATAAAAGAAAGCATGCCGTTACCTTGACCTGAATTCTGAACAAACTAAAGTTTTTATTTCTGAATTGTTTGATTTTTGTAGCGCACACGGGTGTTCATTCATTCATTCATTCACAGTCGTCTTCTCCTCCATGGGGTCCTATTTATTTCATGATTCACGGAGACACAGAAAGCTCCTATTGACGGTCTGACAGATCAAAAGCCTGCAGATTTTTCCTATCACACTGTGGACATGTAGCAGCTTTTATAGCAGCAGCTGTTTGACTCGCCACATCAGTCTGTCCTTTATAGACACATCCATCTTTCCCTTTTCTTCAGTGTTTGTGGTGGTCTGAAAAATTCCGCCTTTTTCACATTCAAGCTCTGAAGGTATGAATATGAGATGTCGACAGCTCAAGTGGAGGAAAGACTGGTGGGTGACAGTGTGTCGAAGCCTATGTGGTGTATAATGAATTTGTAAGATTTCTCTGTGTCTGCATGGTCCGCCTCATGGAAAATGAATAGCTATTTCAGACCCATTATAGTTGGTCAATTAGAGCCTTTCAGGAACTCATGACACATGTTTATTTATTCATTCGCTGACCTTTGTTTAATTATCTCTTTTTCTTGGGAGTCGTGGCTTCAGACATGGGCTGGGAGTGGGGTGGGGTATTTGGTAATTTTTAGTGATAGAGAAAACCGGAGGACCTGGAAGAAACCTATACGCAGGCATTGGGGCAATAATCAAACTCCACTCTGAAAGGTCTGTTTCCAACTTGGACTCGAACCCAGCCAGGACCTTCAGAAGTGTTAGTACTAACCACTCTGCCACTGTGTTGCCAAGTCTGCGTTCGATGGGTTGAGGATTTACCAACGTTCTTTGACATCGTTTTATGATCGGTTAGAAATGCGGTGTCTAACCAGGTCAACAGTGGGATTGGGAAGTGAGTTGTTTGAATGACTTGTTACTTTGTCATTATTTATAATATTGTCCCTTGTGTGACTTGGATTTTATTGTTGTATAAATTACCGCTATATATTTGGTCATAGTTGTCCCACTTAACACACTTGAGGAAAAAGAGTAGACCCTGAGGTGGGTTGAGAGGCGTGTCGTTTTAGCCCACTAGCCCTGATGTCAATGTGTAAGGAAGAGGTTTTTGCTCAGCGGGAATGAGACTATTTATTCTTATCTGGTGTTCACAGACGGAACTGGAGGCTGTGGACCCGCGGGGCCGGACTCCTCTTCATTTGGCGGTGACTCTGGGACATCTGGAGTGTGCCTGCGTCCTGCTGCAGCACGGAGCAGACGTCTACAAGGAGAACCGCAATGGATGGACAGGTAAGGGCAGCCGATGTGAGAAAACAGCTCTGGGCAGTGCAAGACAAAAAGTCCAGGAAAAATACTTTTCTTTTCACTTTAGGTCATTTCTATGTGGTGTCCAGAACAGCACTCTAAAAGTTCTTAAAAAAGCTGGTTGGGTAAATTATCGTTAATCGAAATGTATGTTGATATGGCCAAAATACTGCATTAGATGTGCCTACACCTATCTAACATGAAACTTTCTAAACCAGGATTTCTTAGGAATTGTAGTATGTTGCTCTGCAAACCTCATAGAAATAATTCATGCTTAGGTATTTTGCCTGGACTTGTATTGTACTCTAATACTAATACAAAATGCTTTTAACCAGAGATCCATTCTCTAATAAACTAAGGGGACTCACTAAAAATCTTGGTGTTTTATCTGAGGCAGAGGGACACATTCCCATTGTTTCTTTGAATTTGTGTCATAGCCAGGTGAGTTTAGGGTTAGGAATAGTTAATTTGGTTAATGTTAGGTTTATTATTGGGCTTGCTGCGGGACAGAATACAGATATTTTAGCGAGTCCTGTAATCAATGAGGTCTTATGAGTGGAGAGTGGATACTATTCATAATTTACAGAGTTCATTGTTCCAGCCTGTTTAACTTTCTAGCGAGTATGTGAACTTTCAAGTGATGAAAATTAGTAACATGAACCTGTTTTTTTTCTTGGTTAGCTTTGCCTTTCACTGTTCAGCTCCTGAAATCCAATTATCCTTGTTCTGATCAGAGCTCATTGGGACGAATGAGACTTGTTCTGCTGTATGTGTCTTTGCTTGTCCTACTTTAGTTTCAGTACTTTCACTGCTCGCCCTAAATCACTTCTCTTCATACATTTTGAATGAGGTCTGAGTGACTGATCTGTGCAGAGACCTATTTCGAGGAACATAGTAGGACAAACCCTAGAAAGCCTTAAGATTATCTGATTAGATTCTATAATACAAGCTGGTGAATTCAGCCAAGCTCATCCCTCACAATCTGGAAGTGGTCGTCTTGTGCCAAGGTTGCCAGATTTTGGGAGAACAACAAGAAACCAGGCTTTTTAAAAAACCCACAAACGAGCCAACAAAACAGTCTCTGTTGAGTAAGCACTATGAGGTATATCTTTCATCTACAATCATTCAATTTACATGTATCTCTTTGTTTCCAGTGTCCTCGCCTCATCTCTAAACCTTAGCTTAACAACATTTGCTGCTCCTATTCCTAACTTTAACCGTAACCACTTATATGCAAATTCTAATAAGGAAAGAGGCACAAATTGTGAGTATTTACCTTAAACGAAATACCAATATTTTCTCATGTGAGTCTCAGTCCAAGCTCTTCTGTGAACATGAGTATGAGTGGCTTGGAAACTCCCACTACTCCTGACATAGGTTTTTGTTGAAAGAAAAAAGGGCATTGTTAATGTATCGTTTATATTCGATTTCAATTGGAGAGAAGGTACCGATACAGCACTATGGAAAATAATACATTTTTGAAAGAAATGTTTGAAAAGAAAAATTCCAAATGTTCTCTCTTATCTTACTACTACTTGATATTGTCACCACACCTAGATGATAAAATAATAGTTCATATGGACTGATAAAGAAGATGTGGAACTTTGTGATGGTTTATGTTTCATGTGGATTGGCCGAGGAATGCCAGGAGTAATATCTATGTGTTTGACTTTTGACAGTTACAGTTTCTTTTAGCTACAGGATGCTTATATTTGCTGGTGTCTGTCGTGTCGGTGCAGTGTTGCAGGAGGCAGTCAGCACACGACTTCCTGATTTGGTGCGCCTTGTGCTGCGTTACCGTGACTACCAGAGGACTGCCAAGAGACTGGCCGGAATCCCCATCCTCCTGGAGCGGCTCAGACAGGTGTGGCTTCATACACACACCCATGCACACACACGTACGCACACACACGCATACACACACACACACACACACACAAACAAACACGCATAAACGCACGCACACACCCGCATTTACACACGCATACACACACACACACACACACACACAAACAAACACGCATACACGCACGCACATGCACACACACACCTACATACGCACGCAAACACACACACATGCATACACACACACACCTGCATTTACACAAGCACACACACACTCTCAGGCATTCACACGCACACATACACACTCGCTCGCAGGCATGCACACTCTCACCCACAGACATATACACACACAAAAACGCACACACGCAAAACCCTCACACAATCACACACATACACACACATTCACGCATATATACACACACACATAATCATCACTTTTTGAATGTATTCTAAAGCAAAAGCACCTGCTCATGTGCCGAGTGTATAAATATCTGTTTTTATAACCTGATGGAAAGGAGCTTGAACCATGACTCATGCAGTTTCCAGAGCAGTACTGCTGCTGCTGCTGATGCTGCTGATGCTGATGCAGGGGACTCACTCACAAACTGGTGACAGAACAGATGATATATTTGTACGATGGACCAGAGGGACAACCTGCACAAACGTGGGCCATGTCAACTATTTTGGATAACAGAATATAAAAAGTAATGACGTTTACAGGAGCGTTTTTATTCTTAATACTGATCTTGAATACATCTCAATAATTAAGCAGCATTGACATAGGTTCATAAAACTTTGACATGTTTTATACTATGTCTCCTATATTTTTATATCCTGTTCATCTTTTCTTGAACCTGATATAAATGCTGGGAAGAGGTTTTATGACTCAAAAAATCCCATGTTTACTGACCTTTCCGGATCCAAACAACTTATAAATTAATTATAATAATTGTTAATTACAACTCTATCATGTAAAAACACAAATTCCAGTGCTGGCTTGTGACTGTCACTATCTATCACTGTAATATTTTTCAAAGCAAAGTGCCAACAGTGTTAGAATATAGATACAAAATCAATACTTGAAAAAAATGATGCCACAAAACAAATTACAGGGCATTATGCAACTTTGTATGTGGATTTTTATATATGTATATGTTTGCGTATTTGACCTTCTAATGGCTGTATGAGTGGTCTGATTTCTCATACGATCGACTTTTTTCTTTTTTCACATACAAATATGCCTCCCTCTACCTATCCATCTTGCTCCCTCCCTCCCCTCCACTCCTCACTGTGTTTCCGACTCACCCCCCTCCCTGACCCTGCCCCCCTCTGACAGCCACATTCGGCCGGCAGTCGGAGGTGCTCATCCCGAGAAAAAAATCCGTGGTTTATACAAAGCACAATGTGTCTATCCAACTGTCTGTGAAACTGTGTAAGTAAGTAAGTAAGTAAGTATTTATTTATATACCGCCTTTTCACTGCAGATCTGAGTCTCAAAGCGGTTTACAATTGTTAATTTTTGGGCATTTGTCTCTCACTCCACACAGAGATGGGAGCGCGGTCGCCAGTACAGGAGGCGCATGCTAGAACTATTGGACATATTTTTAGTGGTAGGGGAAACCGGAGTACCCGGAGGAAACCTACGCAGACACGGGGAGAACATGCAAACTCCACTCAGAAAGGCCCTGGTCCGACCGGGATTCGAACCCAGGACCTTCTTGCTGAGAGGCGAGAGTGCTAACCACTCAGCCACCGTGCCGCGTGTGTGTTATTGCTCTCTTCTGTTTATTCTACTGTTAGTCTCATGGCGCCGTAAAGATGGTGCCGTGGCAAGAGCTCTGGTGTGTGTCGTCTGGTGCACACTGGGGTAGTCTTGCACAGTTTTTCCTATGTGGTTTTACTGCAAATGGCAAATAAATGAATCTGAATCTGAATCTAATGCAAAAATGTCCCTTTAAGAAAAACTGTAAAAAAAAAATGTATACAAAGTAAGGTATAGAGTACTATAGAGGGGTGGTTGAGCAGGGGGATTGATATTACTTTAACATTCATTAATATCCTAGGATATGGAGGAGTAGATGACAGTTTATAATATATTAAAAGAAGAATTCCTCAATATTAGCGGAAACCCTAAAACTGCAGCTATCTTCTGAGCAGGTAACACCTAGTCCCAGTTTCCCTCTGCATATTCCTTCTATAATCACTCTCATCTATTACAACACACACAGAGCTGCTTAGTGCCAGTCCCACCGCCACGCAAACATTGCATTAAATCACGAGCAATGGGCAATTTATCACACTGTGTCTACAAACTATTTCCCCTTTATCAAAGTCAATATTCCTTTCCATTTGTCTTCCTCTGTCTCGACACAGGCCCAGGACTTCTATGTGGAGATGAAATGGGAGTTCACCAGCTGGGGTAAGTCCTCTTAGCTTTGTGTTTGTAATATGCCCAGCGATAGGCAGATGTCTTAAAATAATGTATTCAATTGATTGTTTTGCTCTAGATGTGTGTGAGAAAGTAGAAATAGGATTGGCCTGCTCTGCATAGTCTTCACTCATTTATAATAGATTGTGTGAACAGATACTGCACCTTAGAGCAAAGTGATGATTCCAATGCAAACTACCACTGGTTTATTATATTAAACCTGATATTAAATCGCAAACTCCATATCACTGAGGTATCACACAGATTGGGTTGACAAACAGTTTGTATTATGAAGTTATGTTTAAAGGTCCATTGTACTGCAGGATGTTGAAGTAAGTTGCTAATCATACAAAATATTTGTTGTATTGTAAAAGTAGGAGAACGTAGCTTTTTTCTTTTCTGTGTGTGTGCCTTCAATTTAGTCATGACAACTGTAGCTAAGGAGATTTTGCTGGCACAGTCTGCTGTTTATACCTTACTCAATTTATCATTGCTCACACAAAAGCTCTAATAGTGATCAATCAATATGTGCTAAACCTTTCAGTCCTGACTGCTGACTAATAATAATGAATTTCATACATGGCCCATATGTCAGAGCCAGAATATTTACTCCACCATGTTTTTTGAGTTGTATTCAGAGGCTTTAACTTATAAGTGTCCATGAGAAAGGAGTGCTCACCGTGTCAATGCGCCATCTTTAAAGACAGTTGTGGATAAGGGACAAAAAGAATGCGAGAATCGCATTTTCGTTTCACATGAGCCACTGATATCGTTACTTTCACCGTGCCATCACAAGTTTGAAGAAGGGATCATGGAATACAAAAGAACCATGGAGGACCACAGTTATGTAAAAGAACCATGGAGGACCACAGATATGTAAAAGAACCATGGAGGACCACAGATATGTAAAAGAACCATGGAGGACCACAGATATGTAAAAGAACCATGGAGGACCACAGATATGTAAATGAACCATGGAGGACCACAGTTATGTAAATGAACCATGGAGGACCACAGTTATGGAAAAGAACAATCCGAACAACAATCCTTTAGTTTTCTTACCGTGATGCAGACAGGGCGCTGTGGATAACACTAAAGCTAACATGAGCTTTTAGCCATGTCCTGCTGCAGCTGTGTATCTCCTGCTTCTTTGATCATCGTAGTTTTAAGCTCCAGCAGACCTTATCCTCCAGGCGTCTCTTCTGTTCACACCGCGTTTGTAAAACTATATATTATAATAGATCCATGGTAAAACTCAGTAGAGCCTCTGTGGAGCGGGTGCCGCTTCAGAACGCGAGTACTCCTCAACTCAAAGGCTTCCGTAGTACCTTGGACTGCAATATCTCAACGCTAGATGGCACTAAACATTACATAGTGTACCTTTAAGGAGAAGAAAGCCAAAAAGTTAATGTTTAAAACTATTATAAATATGATAAATATAAATGTTTTCCCGTGATTGGATTTTGAGTCGTTTTTCTGCAGGATAGTTAAATCAGAATTCTATTCAGTTATTCAAACACTTAGCTGCTTCCACAGCTGATTAGAAAGAGCTTCCCTTGATTGCATCACTGCTATCAGAAGAAAAGGGTTGTTACAAACTGCACCTGCAAAATGTATTCATTTATTTATTTACTGTGGATGGCCCCTAGAGATGAATCATCTCTTTTTCGAGGGGGTCCGAGTTTTCTTTTTCTTTCTTTAGCTTTGAACATTTACTTTCTTTATTCCATTTCTCATATATGTTTGCCTGACCTAGCGCCTTTGGATCAGGGTTGCGTCTACACTTCTCCAGGATCTTTTGTTTTGTAGGTTTTCCAGTGAGGGGGTCCATCAGAAGAGAAAACCTTTTAAACAATTGATCCTATAAGCATCCTACAGACCACTGTGATTTAAAGTAGATGACCATGCTGACCACTCATGAAGCTCACTCTCTCTGTGAGAAGTCTCAAACCTGGTAGTGTCCGGCATCATACACCTAATGGCATATTTTGGAGCACAGAAAGGCAAAAGTAATATAATCTTCATGTTGACGAGGTGATAAACGCTCCAGCAGAAAACCACTAATCGCCTTTGTTCTAGCTGCATAAAATGTACTAAAGCAGTTGGACTTGATTTGATTCAAAAAGTCAAATTGCTGCTTTTGCCATTGTAAAAGTCTGGTCGATATGATTTGTCGCCTGTGAGATGTGCACCGGAAGGGGGCTGATATCATTATGATTTGCCCCAGGGAATTGTGCCTCTTCCTGTGTTTCATGGACACTTCCTGCATCGTTCTCTTCGGCTTTTAATGTTATAGAGTTTGCCCATTGGAAACCGTAAAGAGCCAGTGTTTAAAGTGGACATGTTGTGTACATTTCTGCTGATGCATCAAATCCAAAGGAGGACTAATAAAATTAAAGCGCTGATGTGAAATGTTACAAACCCATTTAGAGGAAGTAAATGTTAGATTAGAGATAAGAGTGATGTCATAAGCAAAGCAGGTCGCTACGTTTTCATTTATGATTCAGCCTCATGTTGTCAGTTATTCTATGTATTACTTACTAATCCTTTGCTTATAGAGTTTCATCAAAACAATGAATTACTTTGTGCTCATAATATGTCTTTGCTCTATGTTTATGTATAATTCTTTTGGGCCTAATTTAGCACAAGCTTGCAAGAGCTGATTAATGTTAAAGCTGGGGCAGCAAGGATGAGAGCTGATTGGCTGAGTGAGCGTGGTTCTTTCTGTTAAGTTTTGTCCGGAAAAGCTGATCTAAAAATGCAATGAAAAAGTGGGAGTGGGACTATGTATGGCATGGCAATAATGTATTCATCCTCCTATTGTTTGTTTGTTTGTTTATTTATTCATTTCAGGCATTTCACATTGGGCACAAGTCACCTCTTGTCCATCATAGTTTCCAACATAAAATAAATAAAGTATTGTCAACATGTATAAGAGGAAAACAATAAACCAAAATAGTTGCCTGAAACTTCTTCCTACTCCCAGGTCAGTTTCTTTTCAAATTGTAAAGATGGAAAGTCAAAATGAATTTTTCAGACTCGCCCTGGACTGTTTTAAATCTATTCATTATGAAAAATTATTAAATGATGATCAGACACGGTCATATGGTCAAGAATGTGTATTTATATCATTATGAAATACAATTGAAGTTGTGGTTAACATATTTAATGATGGATTCTATTTTCTAAGTCCAAAGCTCTTTTCCAAACCATTTGCTTTTTACTGAGTCTTGTCCAAATGAATGGTCAGTCCTTAGATAGATAGATAGATATATATACTTTATTGATCCCTGTAGGAGAAATTCAGGTGTCCAGTAGCAGTAAAAATAAAAAATGAATAATAAATAATAGTGTAACCTCAGTGTAACCTTGCAAATCATAATCTTTTCTCATCTTCCAGTCACTATTTTTGCAGGCAGTTAATCTTGGTTACTTGGTTATAGATGCTTTTGGACAAACAGTCTTGATTGTGGATGTGTGCCTGTGCCGTCAGTGCCGCTGGTGTCTCGGATCTGTCCCAGCGACACATACCGCGTGTGGAAGAGCGGCCAGAGCCTCCGCGTCGACACCACTCTGACTGGCTTCGAGCAGATGACCTGGCAACGAGGCAAACGCAGCTTCATCTTCAGGGGACAAGGTCAGATACACACCCTTCACTCTTTTTGCTGAGAAATATATTTACTGAATGTCTCTCTCATATTTTCATGTTGTTTTGTATTGTGTCCATATAAGAGATGGAAGCCGATGTATATATATTTTTTTACAATTGGTTTACAATGTATAACCATCACTTTACCGTCACTTTACTGCACTGCTAAACATCTGTTGTGTGTACTTAGTGCCATTGTATATTAAAACAATTTAAAAAAAATGTATGTAGATTTTTTATTTACACGTCTTATTCTATTTTTAATGTATAACTTACACCGAGAGCCAAAGCAGTTTCCTTATTTGTGATTTCTTTACTCACAATGGCAATACAAATTAGTCTGATTCTGATGGCACAACTTACAAAAATAGGGGTTCATTGGGCTGTGACCGGGATCAATACATTCCCAGAGGGCAATCCACCAAATGTTGTACTTATATGAATGTTGTACTTATATGAATTGATCCCTGGACAAATACAAGGCAAATTCTTGTTCATTAGATTACAAACCGTGTTAAGGAAAATGAATACAATACTTGCATTTTGAGGTAATATTGACGTTTGCACATAAAGCAACACAAGAAGAAAAAAGTATACAGTATAATCAGTATTATCACCATATATGTTGTTTACTACTTATAATACTGCATACTTCACTGCTGCTCTACCTCATATGATTTGAGAGGAAATAAACTGTGGTCTGATAAGATGAGCCTTTATTCGTCCCACAGTGGAGAAATTTCAATGTCATCGCTGCGCACATTACAGCAGAATACAGGCAAAAAAAAGCTCTCAGGTTGCACGAATCGAACATGATCTATTATTTACTTACTTACACATGTGGAGTGTACACTTTAGTCAGCAGCATCATGATGTATTTACAGATGTTTATATTGTTCTGTCAAATTTTATATTTTGCAGTTTGTATTGTACTTTAGCGGGATAATCAATAGTAATCATAGAAGCAGGTCAAGTGATAATTGCAGCCTACTGTATATGTGGAAGTGTGGTGATGGCTTGGATCCAAAAATTTTCATAGAAACTTATTTTTTTTTTCCCGAGGTGGTATTTTCTACTGTTTTGGTTGATTGCATTTTCTTCCCTGCACTTTTGTCACAGTCTGTCAGCTGCTGCCCTTTTTCACCCACCTCCATGTATTTTTTATCTCACATCCTCTCTCCACTTCACTGCATGATATCTCTGCTCTATGTCACAGAAGTACAAGATATGCTGTAAAGTAATATTGAGTTTTATTGTGAGGTGGTCGTGCATTTGATATTATTGTTGTTTCCAAACATAAATATTGCTGATGTAAGAACAGAATAGGAAACACTTTTAAGGACAATCCAAACACACCACTATAGACTTTTAGAAGGATTTTCCCCTCTTAAATTACACTGAAGTTTATGAATGTTTAATTTATGTGTGTGCAAGATGCCCATTTAATAACAAAAGGAAATAAAATAGCATGAATTACGCGGGATCATGCATGGAACCAAATTGTGGGTAGCGACGGCCTAGCAACCAAAGAGCCGAATCGAGGATCAGAATGAACTCAATTGGTCATTTGTTAGAATTCAGAGAGACATGAGACATTATCAAATGAAAAACACCAGAATCGTGTTCAACTATGAACTTTTAAGTGAGTTTGATAGTGACAGAAATGGTTACAAAGCTAAAGGAGGTTAGTTTTCATTCTTCAATGGGAGCTTTTGGCTTCACTGAGCTAGCATGTTAGTAGGTTGCATATATGTATTGTACAGTCCATGCACACAGAATACAGTAGTTGTAAGTTTGTTTATTCGGTCATACACATTTCTTTTGACATAATAAAGGCATTAAAAAGAGGAAAAGGTTACTTGTGCAGTGTTTTGACAAAAAGAGTGTGACAGACATCCTCTTGATCTGTCTTGTTGATCAGACTCGAGCGCAGAGGTGATGGAGGTGGACCATGACCGGCAGCTGGTCTTTTGTGAGACCCTGTGTGTTTCGTCGCTGGCCTCTCTCCCTGTGCGACGGGACAGTAATGGCGCCTGCACAGGGACAGGGGGCGCTCTGGGAGTCCTCGGAGCCACGTTGCCCAGTGACGAGCAGGTTGCGGCCAGACTGTCTGCTCCGGTCGTCACCACTCAACTGGACACACGCAACATCGCCTTCGAGAGGTCAGGACCGCCGCAGACATTAAAAGCTACTTAGTTTTTAAGCCAACTTTTGAAAAATTAAAAAAATTCTAATAATGAATAATAGACACACAGCTTTTTGATCAAAATGAGAACAAAAAACAAAGAATACATCAAAAGAAAAAAATCATTATTAATAGTTATGATGAAAAATAATAATGATAGTAAAAAAAAAAGACAAAAGTCAATCCCTCTCAGCATCCAGAAGTAAGATGATCATATCTACCAATGACAAAAATGGTTGTCACGTTTTCTTAAATTACAAATCTAAGCTTTTCTAGTTTGAAATTATAGAGCACATCCCAATAGTCATATGTCATGGGTCGGGAATCTTCCATTTAAAGCTACTTAGTTTTCAAACCACAAAAATATATGAACAATTATAACCTCTTGTTGAATAATTCTAGTTTTCAGCTGTATTTTTTGGCCTCTGCCACATCCTCAGTTCATCTTTTACACACACACAATTGAAAAAGAGTGAAAAAAGTTTTACTAACACGCCTCAACCTGACATCAATACTTGTCAAAAGTCCTAGAAGTGGCCTTGATGTGCTCGGCTTTGTTTGCTTTCCAGGAATAAGACGGGTATTCTAGGCTGGAGGAGCGAGAAAACTGAGACCGTGAACGGATATGAAGCAAAGGTAAAGTTACTGTTATAAATACAAATACAAATACTTTGTGTCAGGGTAGAGCCCTGACACAAAGCAAATTTGTTTCCAGAAAGTCCACTTCATATGGAGGGTTTTCCAGTCATTGTTGGCCATGACTTCTGAGGAAACGATAAACTGGGATATCAATTAGTCCTATATGTCTAAGAGATTGGGATTCTTTGATATCTATTGGTAAACTCTGTAAAGTCCTCCAAGATGACTGCGGTTGTGATTTAGGGCTATACAAAAATAAACTGAGTTGAATTTAAAGATTATTTCTTCCTTATGACAGACTTTAGACAGAAATTTTATGACTCTAACAAATATATGGTTCACCCACTCAACTGACCTAATTAATGTTGTCTCAGTGAAAAAGCTTATTTTTTCTATTCATTTGAAATTAAAATGCTTTTTTTCATAATTTGCAAAATGGTGAAATGTAATTGGCGTAATCTTTTTGTGTGTGTTTCATTTGCAAATAATTGTGGCAGAAGAATTTAAAGTCATTTTCCCCACTGTGGGAGAAATAAATGCTATCTTATTATCCTATATTTGTGTTAGAAGTAAGACATTTAAATACAATAGAAGCATCTGTAGTATGGAGGCCGTGGTTCTGTGTAGCACAATGTACATGCTCCGCATGGCTCCAAAGTGCTAAAATCTGTTTTATTTTCCTTGCTTCTAAAGTCATGTATTCAGCTCTTATGAATGTAATGTTATCAGTACTTTCTATTGCAATAGTTAGTGTCTATTTCTGTTTTCCTCCATCACAGGCTTTTATCCTGGACACTGTTTGCTTTCCTGACCTCTGGAAGGGGTCAGCAAGTGCCATTTGTTCACACTGTTTGAAACTCTTCTTGTGAAATGTAAAAAGCACTGCTATTTCTGAATTCTGAGAGCCACACAAAGCAAGAGTTTGAAGTTCCTCTATTCTAATTTGGGACACTGAATGTTTGATGAGAGATCCCCCTTTAGAGCGCTGTGGCAGGAGTCTCCCAAAGTCTGTGATGTACAGTAAAAGAAATCATCAGGAAATGAGGCGGTAGTTCTCCTTGTCCTCTTTTATTGGAATGTTTAACACGGAGGATCTGAAGTCTAAGAACTTTTCCAAAATGGTTTAAATGTTAACAATTTAAAAGAATTATCTAGCAGAATTTTTAAACTTGACTTTATTATCTCTCTGAAATTAACTTTGCGTTTATCTTTTGCTGAGATTTGTCTTCTTTTTTTTTATTATTACTTGTGGTAATGTAAAAACACAACATGCACAGTTTTCATCGTTTATTATTGATGTAACTAAATCATAATTTTTTTTAAAGGCCGGTGTGCAGCAGTAAGCAAGTTAAAACATTCTGTTTCCCAGAACTTGTAGAGCAGTTGCCATCCATAAATGATCCATAACAGATTATTGTTTTAAGCAGCGCTATAAAAAAGTATTTCGTTGTAGGTTTACGCCGCGTCCAACGTGGAGCTGATCACCAGAACCAGAACAGATCATCTGTCGGACCAAAACAAGAACAAAACCAAAGGTGAGGACTCTGTGGGGATGGAAGCACAAGGAGAGGTCCAGATAAAAGAAACTCAGTCCTGTGTATTTTAGTGAGTTATTATGTAACATTGCTTTGCTCCATGATTGTGATATTGCTTTCCCAGACGTCCTGCATGAATTAGATCAGAAAATATTATGTTTGTCTTCATAGAGATAGATCTGTTTTACGCTGCACTTTGACCGCCTTAGCTTTTCTCTTACTCACCTTTAACTGGTACATATGTTCTCTTTTAAGATTTTTACAACTTTATTCCTAAATGTGTATGTGGGTGCCAAAATCCTACTCAAATAATCAATGTCTCCTATTGATCAGAAACCTCCAGCTAAGCATTGCAATTATAATTTTAATTTCACTCTGATAAAATTCCTATATGTACTAGTAGCTTGTCTCCCCCCTGGACTGCCACCTTAACGTGGTGGGGGTTGTCTGGGGCTTCATGCCCCTGGTAGGGTCTCCCATTGCAGACAGGTCTCAGGTGACGAGTCAGACGAAGCGCAGTCCGAAGCCAACAATGGACAGCACGACAATGAAAACCGTGACGTCGCCCGGCAAGCGAGCGCCTGGTGGCCGGGCCTTAGCCCACGGGGCCCGGCCGGGCTCAGCCCGAAGGGACGACGTGGGCAGTCCCTCCTGTGGGCCCACCACCTGCAGAGGGGTCCGTGGTGGCGCGGTGCTAAGAGGACTGGGCGGCAGTCGAAGGCGGAGACCTCGGCGACCCAGTCTGCACACACAACATCTGGCTCTTTGGACGTGGAACGTCACCTCACTGGGGGGGAAGGAGCCCGAGCTTGTGGGGGAGGTTGAGCGATACCGACTAGAGATAGTCGGCCTCACCTCCACACACAGCTTGGGCTCTGGAACCCAACTCCTTGAGAGGGGTTGGACGCTCCACTTTTCTGGTGTTTCCCGCGGGGAGAGGCGGCGAGCTGGGGTGGCCATTCTCATTGCCCCCCATCTCAGCCGCCACGTGTTGGAGTTCTTCCCGGTGAATGAGAGGGTCGCGTCCCTCCGCCTCCGGGTGGGGGACAAGTCTCTCATTGTTGTGACGGCCTACGGGCCTAAGAGCAGTGCAGAGTACCCGGCCTTCTTGGAGTCCTTGGGAGGGGTACTGGACGGTGCACCGCCCGGGGACTCCGTTATTCTCCTTCGACGCCATGTGGGAATTGCCAGTGACACTTGGAGAGGGGTGATTGGGAAGAACGCCCCCCCTGATCTGAACCCGAGCGGTGTTCAGTTGTTGGACTTCTGTGCCAGTCACAGTTTGTCCATCACGAACACCATGTTCGAGCACAAGGGTGTCAACCAATGCACGTGGCACCAGGATACCCTAGGCCAGAGGTCGATGATCGACTTTGTTGTCGTATCATCTGACCTTCGACCGCGTGTCTCGGACACTCGGGTAAAGAGAGGGGCGGAGCTGTCAACCGATCATCACCTGGTCGTGAGTTGGATCCGCTGGCAGGGGAAGAAGCCGGTCAGACCTGGCAGACCCAAGGGTATAGTGAGGGTCTGCTGGGAACGTCTCGCCGAGCCCCCTGTCAGACGGACTTTCAACTCACACCTCCGGGAGAGCTTCTCCCAGGTCCTGGCGGAGGAGGGGGACATGGAGTCCGAGTGGACCTTGTTCTCTGCCTCAATCACCGATGCCGCGGCTTGTAGCTGTGGTCGCAAGGTCTCTGGTGCTGGTCCCGGCGGCAACCATGGTTGGCATGGTTGGCAGCCTCCATGGTGGCAAGGCTCCGGGTGTGGATGAGATCCGTCCTGACTATCTAAAGTCTCTGGATGTTGTAGGACTGTCTTGGCTGACACGTCTCTGCAACATCGCGTTAGCGATCGGGGGCGGTGACAATGGAGTGGCAGACCGGGGTGGTGGTCCCTCTCTACAAGAAGGGGGACCGAAGGGTGTGTTCCAATTATCGTGGGATCACACTCCTCAGCCTCCCCGGTAAGGTCTACTCCAAGGTACTGGAGAGGAGGCTACGGCCGATGGTCGAATCTCGGATTCAGGAGGAGCAGTGTGGTTTTCGTCCCGGTCGCGGAACACTGGACCAGCTCTATACTCTCCATCGGATACTCGAGGGTTCATGGGAGTTCGCCCAACCTGTCCACATGTGCTTTGTGGATTTGGAGAAGGCGTTCGACTGTGTTCCCCGGGGTGTCCTTTGGGGGGTTCTCCGGGAGTACGGGGTCGGGGGTCTTCTGCTGAGGGCCATCCGATCCCTGTATGACCGGAGCCAGAGCTGTGTTTGCATTGCCGGCAGTAAGTCAGACCTGTTCCCGGTGAATGTTGGCCTCCGACAGGGCTGCCCTTTCTCACCGGTTCTGTTCACTGTATTTATGGACAGAATTTCTAGGCGCAGCCAGGGGTCGGAGGGGTCCGGTTTGGAGACCACAGGATTTCATCTCTGCTGTTTGCAGACGATGTTGTCCTGTTGGCTCCAACGAACCAGGACCTGCAGCATCCCTGGGGAGGTGTTCCGGGCACGTCCCACTGGGAGGAGGCCCGGGCAAGACCTAGGACATGCTGGAGGGACTATGTCTCCCAGCTGGCCTTGGAACGCCTAGGGGTCCCCCCGGACGAGCTGGAGGAAGTGTGTGTGGATAGGGAAGTCTGGGCGTCTCTGCTTAGACTGCTGCCCCCGCGACCCGGCAACGGATAAAGCGGAAGAAAATGGATGGATGGATGGATAGTAGCTTGTCTGAATTAGCTAAGTAAAGCAATTGCAGTTTAATGAACAAACTTACATTTTTCTCATGCTGGTGTCCAAGTGCATGTCCACTGGAGCTTGTGGCTTCAGATAAATGATGGTGACTGAAACTGTAACAAGGACTCTGACTTCTGATCCCTTGTGGCGAAACTGAATGAATATGAACAGACACTTGAGATGTATTTTTAAAACCCTTGTCATAAAGATGAGACATTTTTAAATAATTCACTTTGTTCCCATTGGGGTTCTGTAGATGTTCGCACATTTTTAGGTTTTCTATGTTGTATAAGGCGTAAAGATAAACAATCTTGCCTACAACAACATCAACAACTGAACAACTGAACAACCTTCTCTCAATATAACAGATAAACAAATAAATACGGAGGAAATGGCATGGATTGAAATTCAGAGCTGAAAATAGACGTGCACTGTTCGCGATTGTGGCTGAGACTATGTTGGAGTTGTGATTAAGCTTGTTTTGTATGTTTTAACTTCACTTTCAGGTGGGAGGACTCCTCTGCAGAACTTCCTGGGCATCGCTGAACAACACATGGGCCCCAACAATGGAGTGCGTAGAATGCTCTTTGTTACTGGACAAGAACCTAATGAAAAACATGTTATTGTCCTCCTAAATGCACAGGTTCAGTTGTGATGATGCAAGCTTTATATGGTAAATACTTAAACTCATTTATACGCCCACACTCTCTTTATGTGATTTATTGATCTCTTCAGTTCCCTTTATTACACCTCTGCTGTGCTGCTGAATAAAGAGAATCAGCCCTATGGCATTTTCTAGATATTTGGAGCTGGAAAGGTCAGAGGCAGATCTGTCTGGGCCTTAACATTTGAGTCTGACATAACAAGGAAACACTCCATAGTCTGAGCAGAGCACAAGTTTGCAGTCAATCCAAAGGTCGACTGTTGCAGATTATTCATACATGGATTTACATGGAAAATGGAAGTCCTGTAACTCTGTAAGCACTTGTTTCACATGTCTATATGTGATTTACTAGGATAGCGTCTATGAAAAATCCAGTAAGAACTCATAATTCAAATTAATCTCTGGCTAGGGCACGAGCAGGGACAAGCAGGAACAGGGCACTGCTGCTTCTGATTGGCTTTTTGGTTGCTAGGTTGATTCTTGTGGGCCACCACAGGAATCAACCCTAACCCTAACCCTAACCCAGGCCTTTCTGTGTGGAGTTTGCATGTTTCTCCTTGTGTGTGGGTTTCCTCCAGGTATTCCAGTTTCCCCCACTATAAAGTGTGTAGAAGAACCAAATACTTTTAATTTACCCACCACCACCACATGCGCCATAAGTACAATCCTCCATCCTCTTGACCACGATCATCAACACCAGCGGTGTCCCCTGGCACTGTACTGCAGGGACCAGTCTCCTGACAGTTTGCCCGAGTAGTATTGAAGGAAGGGTCAAACGCAGCTGCACTTTCCCTGTGCATTTTAGACTTGTGAAATGATTTTTCAATGCTAATTTATTTATGAATATGTCTTCACAGGCCCTGGTGACTCAAATGTCATGTCCCGCAGTCACAAATCCTTCAGCGCTGACAGCAGACGAGTACTTCAACCCGTCGCAAACTCAGAAGGACATCGGACACCCGTGCCAGCTGACCACCAAGACCCAGAGGTGACCGCACCGCTCCACACACACAGACCGACTCATGGGCCTGAAAACTATCAGACAAATGATCTTTAAACAATACTGACTGTATAATGGCACTTGGATGCTCCTCCAGTAAGTCTGCTTCTGTAAGTCACTGCAGAGATACGCTCTTTATTTGTTACTCCAGTGCGGAAGCTATTTGATTCACGCTGTCAGTCTTCCTCAGCGTCTAGTCGCTCTAACTCACACTGACAGTGTGCTGCACTGACTCCGCTGTTCATTAGAAGTGAAATTGTGCCATCGATTGGTCTCGGTTTGGACACGGCTTGAGCAGGCTTGTGGATAATTACCCACGGACAAAGAAAAATAACTTCTGCTATTTTATTTGTGGGGAGGATAAAGGGAAAATGAATAATATAAGCTTCTTTTTTTTCTTCAAGCATACAATGAAAAAGAGTACATTATTTACAACAACAACAAAATCCAAGTCGTAAGAACACTGATAGTAATGCACAGAAAATTCAGAGTGGGATGAAGTTGTACACTTAATTCAGTCGCACCTCCTCTTTCAAAGTTTTAATTTACTATGTGTTTACCTCCTTTGGTTTTACACAATTTCTTGCAAAAACACAAGCACTTATGATTTCCTATTATATTTAAAATAGCATAGTTACAAATGTTTGCTACATAAACAAGCAAACTAACAAAATGATTCCTTTGAATCTTTTTCTGAATAATTATATATTTGGACATACTGTGAGCTGCTCAGCTCTTCCAGATTATCCCCCTGTGTTTTACAAAAGCACAAAAATATACAGTCCATCTACGTATCATATGTGTCATTAAATATGTATTATGTTTTTAAATTTCAATAAACTGTACTTAAATGTAGATTTCTTTCCATTTTTAATGTATAAATAAACATTAATATACAGTAATGTATGTGCTTGTGCGTGTAAAAAATACAGTACATAAAATGCATAACAAACCCATTATAATTGTCAAAGATGTACCAGAAGAAGGCGTTCATCATTGTATCGACTCTTTCTATATATATGATATGATTCACATTTCAGAAAGCATGTATTCGGCTGAAGACCTTTCGTGTAATTTTTTTATTTATTAAAAAAAACCTCTCACATGTTTGGGTTCTGTTACAGGTTCAAAGCGAAGTTGTGGCTGTGTGAGAACCACCCTCTGTCTCTGGCAGAGCAGGTGGTGCCCATCATCGACCTCATGGCCATTTCCAACGCTCTGTTTGCCAAACTGAGGGACTTCATCACACTGCGGCTGCCGCCTGGCTTCCCTGTCAAGATCGGTGAGAAACTCTTGGGGAATGTAGCAATAAATTTGGGAAGTTGTGTGAAAACTAGTTAGGAAATAAAACCATGACAATCCTTATTTGTCCTGCCAAGGGTACGTTCATTAAGGGTTAGATTTAGAGGTTACTTTCACTGTCTATTCATTTTGCCACAATAATATATGATGCTTGTTTTGTCAGGATGTGGTTCAGAATTTGACTAGAAAAGAAAACCAAGATTTTCAAGAGTTCAAATAAACAATATTTAATTGATTGACTGCGGAACCTTCCGCAGTCAACCATTGGTTTTGTATTTCTTTATTCCGTCATTTTTTTTGACACGTTTCACAGCTTTCACATTTTCAACAATTTCCACAAGTTATACATCAAAACGTTCCACATGTTTGGGAGATTATTGCTATTACTTTTGGGACTTCAGCGATTTCCGGTTTTTCCGCAATCGGACAAAAATCTGCATTGAGAATTCTGCAATGCATTTTAATAGGCCCATGCATTTTAATAGGACTTCAGCTCTTTCAGACATTTCTACAGTTTCAATGATTCAACAGTTTCAAGGATTCAACAGTTTCAAGGATTTCAGCAGTTTCAAGATTTCAAGAGTTTCAAGGACTTCAACAGTTTCAAGGACTTCAGCAGTTTCAAGGACTTCAGCAGTTTCAAGGACTTCAGCAGTTTCAAGGACTTCAGTGTAATCATGCAACCTAATAGGGATTTTTCCATGTAAACCAGTATAATGCAACTTAATAGGGATTTTTCCATGTAAACCAGTATAATGCAACTTAATAGGGTTTTTTCATGTAAACCAGTATAATGCAACTTAATAGGGTTTTTTTTCATGTAAACCAGTATAATGCAACTTAATGGGGATTTTTCCATGTAAACCAGTATAATGCAACTTAATAGGGGTTTTTACATGTAAACCAGTATAATGCAACTTAATAGGGTTTTTTCCATGTAAACCAGTATAATGCAACTTAATAGGGTTTTTTCCATGTAAACCAGTACAATGCAACTTAATAGGGATTTTTCCATGTAAACCAGTATAATGCAACTTAATGGGGATTTTTCCATGTAAACCAGTATAATGCAACTTAATGGGGATTTTTCCATGTAAACCAGTATTATGCAACTTAATAGGGATTTTTCCATGTAAACCAGTATAATGCAACTTAATAGGGATTTTTCCATGTAAACCAGTATAATGCAACTTAATGGGGATTTTTCCATGTAAACCAGTATTATGCAACTTAATAGGGATTTTTCCATGTAAACCAGTATAATGCAACTTAATAGGGTTTTTTTCATGTAAACCAGTATAATGCAACTTAATAGGGTTTTTACATGTAAACCAGTATAATGGAACTTAATAGGGGTTTTTACATGTAAACCAGTATAATGGAACTTAATAGGGGTTTTTACATGTAAACCAGTATAATGCAACTTAATAAGGATTTTTACATGTAAACCACTATAATGTAACCTAATAGGGGTTTTTACATGTAAACCAGTATAAAGCAACTTAATAGGGATTTGTACATGTAAACCAGTATAATGCAACCTAATAGGGATTTTTCCATGTAAACCAGTATAATGCAACTTAATAGGGTTTTTTCATGTAAACCAGTATAATGCAACTTAATAGGGATTTTTCCATGTAAACCAGTATAATGCAACTTAATAGGGGTTTTTACATGTAAACCAGTATAATGCAACTTAATAGGGGTTTTTCCATGTAAACCAGTATAATGCAACTTAATAGGGGTTTTTTCATGTAAACCAGTATAATGCAACTTAATGGGGATTTTTCCATGTAAACCAGTATTATGCAACTTAATAGGGATTTTTCCATGTAAACCAGTATAATGCAACTTAATAGGGTTTTTTTCATGTTAACCAGTATAATGCAACTTAATAGGGTTTTTTTCATGTAAACCAGTATAATGCAACTTAATAGGGTTTTTTCATGTATAATGCAACCTAATAGGTTGCATTATACCACCAGACCAAGACCCAAACGAAGACTCAGACCACCACCAGATAATGACCACAGACCAGGTTTCCTTAGTTACAGGAACCAAATTGTTTCAGCGGTGAGGGGATTTTTCAGTTTCAAGGACACTTTCAATACATTCAGTAGTTTCAAGGATTTCAGCTGTTTAAGAATTTAACCAGTTTCAAGGATATCAGGAGGTTCAAGGATTTCAGGAGTTTCCACACTTTCAACAGTTTCCAGGTTTAAAAAAGTTTCAAGGATTTCAGGAGTTTCAATGTTTCAACAGTTTCAAGGATTTCAGGAGTTTAAAGGTTTCAACAATTTCAAGGACTTCAGGAGTTTCAAATATCTATCAAGTATTTTAACAGTTTCAAGGCTTTTTAAAGGATTTCAAGGATTTTTTTTAGCAGATTTCCACATTAGATCTGTTCCGCAGTCAATCGCAATGGCTTCAGCCATTGCAAGTTTCTAGTTATCTTTACAATTAAATGCTAATACAAAACTCTCTGAGCTCCTATTTCCCTATCTTTCCCTATGAGCTGAGCCAAAAACTGTCCCTACCGGCCTATAAACTATGGAGGTCAGCCAGGCGCTCTGTGAAGACATCCCTGTCCCTGCTCAGACTGACTAACTCAGCATAGATTAAATGTATAGTGCAAAGGGGCGTGTCTTCCTCCGCCACATCTCCTCACTTTTCTGAATAACACCTTGGAAAGAAGAGGAAACTAAATCCCTCACTGTCTATTGTTCTCAGAATGACACTTGTTTTTAGTTTTTGTCTTGTGATAGAATACGATTGAAGCGTCCCCTTTATACACTAACCGGCACGATGGCTGGTGATTCAGCCATCGTGCCGGTGTTTGCACAATGGCTGAATCTGTTTGCATGTTCTCCTCGTGTCTTCGTAGGTTTCCTCTGGGTGCTCCGGTGTCCCCTACCACTAAAAACATGCACAACTGGTATGAATGTAGATGAGAGAGTGAGGGGATGGTGTTGATTGGGGCCAGTGTGTTCGGCATTTCGCTTCCGTCATCACCGGGTGTGGAGTGATTGCAACAATATCAGATTTTTGAACATTATAAAGCGCTTTGGGTGACCTTGGTCTGTAAAAAGCACTATATAAATAAACATGACTTACTTACTTTCCATCTAAAACACATTGTAATGAATATAGAGCCCACTGATGATTAATATAAGGCACTCCTGTGTTTAGTACAAATCATTCAAACAACAATGTCTTTGTTAGTTCATGAAATTACTGATTATAAAAGGTGATAAAAGTGGAGAAGTGCAAAAAGTGGAGGGACATACACATCCAAAAAAGTAATGTGCAGGACCTAACTTGACAGTGACAGACCGATCCACCCTCGCTGTTTCAGAGATTTTTTTTTAGGTCTTTCCTTCCTACTGCTGTCAGACTATAAAAAGAGAACTGCTGAGTCTGTACATTTCATCTCTGTAAATAGTTATTTCAATTCAATTAAACAGATTTTTGAATAGCCCTAAATCACAACAGCAGCTATCTCAGAGAACTTTACAAAGTTGTAGATTCACCAATAACAATCAGAGAATCAAACAGTGCAAACACAAGAAACGCAATGATGAAAAACAGAGGGGGTTAAGGGGCGAATGATCAATGTCCATAAATGTTTATAGATGATAAATGTCTCTAGATGTTAAATGTCCTGGATCATCACCATGGTCCTTACACCCTCCTATATCAGTAGTAGTAGTAGTAGTAGTTTATTTGTTCAGTCACTTTTTCACAACTCAGACAATACAGATCATTTGAAAAAAATAAAGTAAAAAGTAAAGTTGACTGAAAGGGTTTAGGCTGAAGTGAAACACTTATAGAAGCCTAACCCTACTATAGCTTACTATAACCAGACCATCAGCAAGGAACAAAAAAAAAAACAGTTGGAAAAAAGTGACGGGGGGTAATACTGTAGTCATGTGATAGAGGCAGTAACGTAATAGCAGCATTGGTAAGAGTAATAGTATCAATCAATCAATCAACTTTATTTGTATGGCGCCTTTCCAACACAAGGCCACTCAAAGCGCCTCACAACCCACATAATATCAGACAAATCAGAAACATCAACAACTACATATACAAACAATAAATACATTAAAAACAGAATAAAATCACAAGTAATGAAAAAAACCTTAAAACATTAAAAGCACACACGGGATTAAAATAATAAATAACCACAATGCATTAAAAAAAAGAGTATGTATCAATAAAATCCTTCAGCCGTATGCACAGCTAAAAAGAACAGTTTTTAACCCTGATTTGAAAATTGCCAGAGTAGATGCAATTTTCAAATCAGTAGTAGTAGTAGTGCTAACAGTAGAAGGTAGGTAAATATCTTGACATTTTCTACCTCTTGTCAATACTAGTGACAATGAGAAGCGCGACCCTAATGCTTTCCCTATTGGCACACTGTCTAACGACTTGAAAGTGAACCTGTCGTAGGTGTGGACGAGAGCTGACATTTATCCAACAAAGCCACAGAGAACGCGTGTCTTAATTTGCAACAGAGCAGAGAGAGAGAAAGTGCTGAAATGTCACAGATAATCAAATATACACATGCCCTGTACTTGTGTCTGCGCAGAAATCCCCCTGTACCACATCCTGAACGCCCGCATCACCTTCAGTAACTTGAACGGCTGGGCGGAGGGCGTGAGAGGCGCCCCAGAGGAGGGGGCTGTGGATGGGGGGCTGAAGAGGAAAGCCAGCTCAGAAGCTCCATCCCCGGGCAGCGACTCATCCAGCGTGTCCAGCTCAAGCTCCACAAGTGAGAATTAAGCCATACAAGTGCTTTATACAGGTCTAAATGTATATAGAAGAAAAGAAAAAACATATCTTATACATTGGTTTTATTTTTCAATTTTAGCCACTGTTTGCCGCTGCGTTCTAATTATTATTATTTTTCTTAATTTCATTTGGTAGGAAAAGTGGCCGTTCCTGAACATTTGTATAGGTATGCCAGATTATTGCTAAAATCTATTTAGAGAGTAGATATATATAGAAAATTAAAAATAAACATAGGGACACAACATGAAATAGACAGATAATATCTAATGTATTTGATAAGTGGTTTGTTGCTATCTACATGGAAGGAGCTGGCTACTGAAAATGTTTTGGTATTAATGTTTATATTGTACACTCAATATTCAATTCATACAATGCTCTTCTTACCTTACATCTGTATCTAATAGCTTTTTAAGGTCAATTGTTCCCATGAAAAGACAAAATATGTGTTGCAAATCCAATGCTATTGTTCCAATACGTTCAAATCAATGACAATAAATCAAGTCATAAGAACATAGTTTGTGGAGTCCCCCAGGGATCCGTTTTAGGTCCCAAACTGTTCTTACTGTATATTAATGATCTATGTCTAATGTCAACAAAAATGAAAATGTTATTATTGCAGATGACACAACCATTACTTGTTCTGGGGATAATCTTGAGCAACTCGTATCCCAAGCATCAACTGAACTAAGTAAATTGAAAACTTTTGATAGAAATAAATTAGCGCTCAACATCTCTAAAACAAAATACATGATATTTGGAAATCGAGTTATATCATGTCAAGCTCCAGTTAAAATTGATGATACAGTAATTGAACAAGTCGATCAGTTCAAATTTCTCGGTGTGACGCTTGACAGTAAGCTGTGTTGGAAACCCCATATTTCGTATATCAAAACCAAAGTGGCTAGGAACAAGGCAAGACCTGTTGTGGACTACAAATCCCTCCACTTACTCTACTGTGCTTTCATTCTACCAAACTTGAGCTAGGGAGCTCAAGTATGGGGTAATACATATCAAACCAACACAAAATCTTTATTTATCCTTCAAAAAAGGCAGTAAGAATCTTGTACGAAGCAGTTTTATAGAGCTCACACTAATATGTTATTCCTGAAATCCAAATTAGTAAAGTTTGATGATTTAGTTAAATTTAAAACCTTGCAAATCATGTACAAAGCAAGTTACCTTCAATTACCACATAACATTCAAAACATGTTTCAAAAGAGAGAAAGTATAGCTTAAGGAATCCCTTCAATTTACAAAAGAAATCAGCTCGCACCACTCTGAAAAAAATGTGCATCTCCAGATGTGGAGTCGATCTGTGGAACAAGCTACCAGAAGAATTGCAGAGTTCTCTTAATATACACGTATTCAAACAAATGTACAAAAAATATATATTCTAGAATTATGAGGCTGAAGATGCCATTCTCTAGTTCAGGAATAGTTGTGAGTATATTCTTTCTGTGTGTTTTTCCTTAAATGTGTGTGTAAATATGTATGTATGTTTGTATATGTTAAATGTATATGTGTATTATGTTTGTGTGTATTTATGTATGGAAAATGAGTATAGCAGAAAGTGTGTATGTATGTATGTATGTACTGTATATGTTAAATGTATCTGTATATATGTTTGTGTGTATATGTATGGTAAATGAGTATCGCATAAAGTGTGTGTGTATGTATGTATACTGTATGTATGTATATAGAAATGTGTTTATGTATACGTATGTGTCAGCGTGTGTGTATATGTTTTGTATATGCTTGTGTGTGTGTATGTCAAATGTGCCAGTGCGTGTGTATGTGCATATTTATATGTATATAGTAATGTATGTACATGTACATATCCTAAGCAATATCTATCGGTGATGGGCGTTTTGGTAACAGGGGGTAGGCCCAGATAAGCTGCCCCAGCTTCTGCCAACTCCCTTTTGGGCTATTGTATTTTCTGTGCTTCTCTTTTGTATGATTGTTTTAGTATCTTCCAGATGCCCAAATAAACACTACTACTACAACTGTATATTGGGCTTCTAGTATGGTATGGTATTGTGTGTACTTTATTATAGCAGGGACGGTGTACAGTACAATTAAACATTGACACAAAAGAAGAGATGTATTGTACCAGGTTATAGCAAAGATACTGATCTCCACCTGTAGTCCCTGGGCAGGCTGATGTTATATTCATTTAAACAGATTCTAATGTAGAGAGATGCATACATGGCCGTGTCTTACATTTACAGACTTTAAATAACATCTGTCACAAAACATTTAGTAGTTTAGTAATTGGATAGTAGTAATAGTTTAAGTGATTAATTTCTTGTATTTATTTTACGTTATGTTAAAAAATCTATAAAAAATATGAAACTATAATCCTGTATACAAATACAGTGTGTGACTCAGTGTGTGAAGTGTGTTTCCGCCTTAATCACTTACAGTATTATGTGAACACACCTTCACCCGTTCTCCTTTGCAAAGACATCTCTGTATCTCTTGCTGCTGTAGCCTCGTGTCGCGCTGGAGAGATCCCACAGTGTGTGTTCGAGCCGCCGCCCGGCTACGCTCTGCTGGGGTCCCGCCACAGGGAGCCCCTGAGGGAGGAGGAGGAGGATCTTCTGCAGTTTGCCATCCAGCAGAGTCTGATAGAGGCCGGCTCCGAATACGACCAGGTGAAGACACAATATTTGTTTGTTTCTGTTTATCTCCACTGATGTTGCTCTATATCATATATCCACTCAAAAGATGTGCACGCTCTGACCCTCTAGTCCACCTGGCTATGTACATTTTTTTCCTGTGTTAGATCAATACATTTTTATTTATTTATTTAATCTTTAATTCAGACACACAAAGGGTCCATATAAAACAAAAGAGACAAAAAAAAACACACACAAACATTCAATATTTATAAAATTCTATAAAGACAGCTTCTCCAATGCCTCCAGAGGTCAGAGGTGTGCCTAACACTGCTCTGTACAGTAAAAACATTCATTATTACATTTAAAGAGTGCTCAGAGCGTTTCATGAACCTATAAATACAATTTCTGATCACAGCAGTCAGAGTGGGGACATTATTAAAAACAAACAGTGAGCTGGCACGAGTCCAGCTCGTGCCAGTGCATCATTATATGCAACCTGCAGCTTCTTAAACTTACTCTTACTGTATCTGCACCACAAGTGGGCAGTATAAATAAAGTCTATCTTATCTTATCTTACCTTATATTCTTGATCATGTTTAGTCTAGCAGAGAAGGACTTTCTGGCCTTGAGGGTCCGCCACTGAGTTGTCTTCATGCTGGTGGAGGAAGTGCAAGTTCTTTTTTTGTGATCAATTTTTTTATTCAAGTATGACAATGTATTTGACAATGTATTCACATTTTGCACTGATTAGAATGCATCACACTTGACTTTTTATCCCCCTTTTGGTCCCCATATCCCCTTTCCCTTTTGATGGGCAGAGAAGCTCAAAATAATAAATTGATAAATAAATAAATAAATAACGATTATAATAACAGAATAGTAAATACAAATAACAATAAAAAATAATAATAACAAAATTAATAATAATAATAATAATAATAAAAATAAAATAAAATAAAAGATTCAAGACATCTAAAACAAAATTTGTAATTAAAGAATACAATAAAAATACATAAATACAATAAGCAATAAACAAAAGTGCAAGTTCTTGATGTTGCAGACGATTTTAAAGGCGTCCTGAGTCGGGCTTAAATGACTGGAGAAAATAAGGATTTTTTTCTGAGTCGTGATTTAAGGTTCAATACTTCTGGCGGATTAGCTGTGGTTGGTCAGACTGGGTGCCAACTTCATATAACAGGAAGTTTTGATGTTTTTCACTTTGAACTATAGCCATTCTCTTAACTATTTCAAGTTTACTGTTGTCATAGATTCTAGTCTTTTACTAAAGACGGTTTCAGGATTGTGGCAATATTCAACATTCTTTTCTACTTGGGCTGCTGATGTTCAACAAATATAGTTATTGCAATAATGGCAAGTCCAATATTGATATCACAAAGGTGGGAAATACTTGTATGTATAAATCAGGTGTTATTTCATGCATACACTTTGTTGCTAGACTCTGGGTACAGTGGATAGAAAGAACATGTATATTGATTTATTTTGGGATGGGAAATATCACATTATACATTTACAGCCGCAACTGTCGTCGTCACACCAGCTTCAAAAGTCTTGGTTTCAGACCCTAGGCCTTGCTTTGGTCCTGTTCTAGTTTGGATGCTATTTTAACTCAAGCTTTAATTCCCGTCTAATATGCACATAGAAGTTCTGGTTTACTTGGAGTGACTTGAGTTTTGAAGTGTCTTGTATTTGTACTGTACGTAAAATAAAGTCATTTGGAGAAGAAAACGCTGATTTCAGCTTGTTGTGAACTGTTGACAGATCTTGCTTACGCTAAAACTATTGATCATATTTTATCTTCAATACATTTATGCTGAGTCATTTAGTTTAGTTTGAGACTTTGGGAACTTCATTTTGTGTAGGAACACTTAAATTGACATATACAGTAAATGCATTACCGTATATTTAAGCTTGCCTTGATGCACGTTACTCAACATTTCTGCGTCTCTGCATGTGATAAATATTTATAGCTCTGTTGGTGCTTTGTTTGTGCTGAATCAGTAGAAATTGGCTTTACGTGCGGTGGGATTATCACCAAATACTGAAGCTCATTTTACCATCGTTGTCCAGACAGCTAATTCTAAAACGTGAATGAAGGCAGTAGTTATCTTGAGGAAGAGTTGCCAATGGAACAAGCATGAATATATATTTCTTTACTCTGATAAATGTAGAAAGATCTAGAAGTCATAATGCAGTTTACCTTCTTTTATCCTTGTACCACTTGTAAAAAATAGTAATGTACTAATAATGGCAGTAATACATCTTTTTTCTGTATTGCAGGTGACCATCTGGGAGGCACTTACCAACAGCAAACCAGGCAGCCACACCCTGTCATGTGACCCCAGCCGCTCGGACAGGTCAGAAAAAAACTCAATTATTTTACGCAATTCTTTCACATTCTAAGTGGGGAGCAGGGTTCTGTTATATCTATTGTCCATAATTTGAGTCCCCTATGATTCTATTCTTCTATACTGTAAACACACATACACAAATTAGTAAAAGTAGTAAAACTTTTTACCAAATGGAGATAGATTTGAAAACTGAAAAAGCTTTTGGTTACTTTAGTTTTTAGGCAATTGTACAAACACTGCAAAAACAATCTACGTGAGTTACAATGACTATTTTAATAATAAATAATAATAATAATAAAACTATTTTTTTTAGATGCAGAAATATTTGGAGATAAAATACTTTCCTGTCTACTGGTTTAACATTAGATTATTTCCAACAACATAAAGTGACAGTGATCAGTAAAAATCTGATGAATCACATTTACTATGATCCTAGTATAGTGCCTTTGGGCAAGACACATCATAGCCTCGATGTTTGAAAGGATGGAATATCTGCCTCTTTGCCAATAGTGACGACTATTGTAAGTTCCAGTGACTCATACTCACATCATGCACAGTCTGCTCCACACCAATAGAATCAATCATTCTTGAAGTGGCCCTTTCATTTGCACACACATAAACAGATTACAATCAGCACAACATAATCACATTGTTAGATTTTGGGGAAAGTTGATATTTGGCTGGATTATAGAAAGAGTACAATATATCCATAAACAATGTTAGTATTACAATGTCATATCCTATTTCCCAGAACAGCGCTCCGTCCGTTTAGGAACAGGGGAAGCTATAAAAAGAAACGATGCATCATAAAAAAGCAGCTTACGGAGGAGAGACGCAAAAACAGGAAGTGGGCTCAGAATGTCCCAAGAGAGAACACTCGCCGAGTCAAAGTAGTAAAAGGGAATTATGCAAATTCTACATACAATATACGGTAATTCTGATTAGTGACTTTCAATCGAGAAGTTTGGTTTTTGGGAGAATCTGGTAAACAACTCAAAGGTATATAGCAGGATTTGTTATTATTAGTATCAGTATCAGTCATCACAACTGTTTGAAATAAAAGTGTCATGTGCTTACCGTGAGAAAACGGGCTCTTAGACGTAAAGTAGAATTAAATCGTTCCTCCCATTTCCTCTCAAAATGCATTCAGAGTGATTCATGCTGGTTTTGTGCTGTTAATATTCTACATTCAACCTGGGACACACCCGCTCCTCTTCTATCTGTGATTTATCATTGTCGCATGGTGTCCCATTAAATAAATCCACCAAGATAAGTCCCATTGCCACCAAAAAACACATCTTTTTTATGCACAAACAGGTGCAAAAACATGATCATTTGTTCCTTAAAGGCCTACAGTTCAAAGAGGTGTGGAGACCGAAAAACTGTATAATAGACAGGTTCAGAGTGAGGCCTATTCAAGTGTATATAGTCTATGGATGTTTTCTGATTGGACCCTTCCACGGGAAAACTGAAAAACATGTGCTTTCTTCTCCCCGCACACATGCACCATTTCGCACAAATCACACACGGCTAGAACTGCTGCTGTTGTACCAATAAGCAAGGTGCAAAATGGTGGATGTTTGGTTTGAAACAAAAATAAGACTTTCCTCAACATTGACATAAGGGTAGAACTTAGCGTTGATCCAAGAGAGTTTTGAAGCAGGCTCTGAAGCTATTTTTTTTTTTTGACTCACATACATTTGCCTTAGGGTTTGACAGTTTAGCTTCTGTAGTCACAGCTGAAGGCATCACGCCACAATTCAAGGATGTCAAGTTTGCACAAATAAAAAGCTCCCAAAACATAGAGCGTATTCCTCACAGGGCGATGGTTTCATTCAACTTACAAGAGCTGTTTTCGGTGTGAAGACCCGTTCAGTGAAACAGGAAGTGGGATGATTATACGTTTATCTAACTGAAATTTTGAAAAACTCAATGATTAAACTGAAAGTATCCATGGTGTTGAAATTCAGCTTGCTCAATTACTTGTGTCCAGGACGCCTCAGCACAAACCCCGCCCCGTCTCCACTCCATCCAAAAAGCAACCGAGCTATGACGACCAGCTGCGCATCGCCATGGAGATATCGGTGCGGGAACAGGAAGAGGCGGAGCTGCGGCGGCGGCAAGAGGAGGAGGAGCTACAGAGGATCATCCACCTGTCCATCATGGAGAAGTGACTGCTGATTAGCTCACAGGGCTCAGGGGGGCGGGTGTAAGGTACAATAATGGACTATAACAGGAGGACGCATCCCATTTGTGAACGCTCCCTTCCTTCATCACTCAGCTGTCAGTCAAAACTGAACAATCATGTTTTATTTTAAACAGTTTGTTGCTCTCCTTCCACAAATATTCCAACATAATTATTCACTTTAATTACTTTATACGCAATTTTCTCAACTTTTTGATTTCAGAGAGAGTCATACCCCCACAAAGACATTGTCAAATATCACAAAGTAAAGTGGGCAAGATTCATTCATTGTAACCCTCACTCAGCATTTTCAAAAACATATATGGCTATTTATGGCTACGCAGATCTCAAAGAATGCACAATAAATCTAATAGTTTTAGTAATCGACTAATCAGAACCATAATCACAGATTTTTCAACTAAAACAATCCACAAACTTTTTATTTAATGTACAGTGACAGCATTATGTATTTTTTAACTGGACTTTGCCCTTTAAGCACCCATGTTCGAAAAAATACTCTCTTTTTTTTTTCAACCATGTTACAATATTGTTCAACTCCAAACAAGTTTTTTAGCTCTACCCTCACTACTATGTGGATCTTTTGGCACAAATTGACGCAAACACATTTTTAAACTGCTCTTATCTCAAACCCGATTCGGTTTCTTACAGTATGACGTCATGGGACCACACCGCATTAGATTTACATACATGTAGATTAAAATATAGCACAATCCACATATATTTAAGACTTAATTATTGAAGCACAAATTACCAAAGTAAATATTCTCAAATGTTTAATAGACAAAATGAGCACAAATAATGCATAATCATAACAATGCTTTTCATACAGCCTTTAATAGTTGTAATCATAATCATAATAATGCAAAGGTTTTTTATAGCAATTGTTCCCCCATTGTGGGACGAAACAATGATCTCTTATCTTATCTTTCGAGTTATTCATAAGTCTAGCTTAATATTTAGCAAATATTACGGTTTTCCATAAGATATTCATCTATTGGCTGTCCGATCAGTTGTAATTACTTTGGATCTCAAACATTCTCAAAAACCGTTTATTTTGTCTCTTGATTTAGTGTGTATCCGCTTCTGCAGTCAGATTGTACTACAAGTCAGATCATTAGTATAACCTCACTGTGACTGGAAGGACGCCTAAAGCGGACCGTGAGGTCAGGGGGAAAGTGAACACATTTGGGATCTGCCATTGAAGGCGCCGCCCCCTAGAGCCTTCTCCAGCTGAACTCTGGTGCCACAATCTACTCTTGATCGTTTACAAGCAACAAAACCATATAATAATGATAATAAGAACAAAAGGATTATGTGAATGCTCTTGTCGATTGTATGTTTGGTGAACTTTCCTTTGTGTGCATGTGAGTGAGGTTTGAAACCAGCTCCGCAACAGACCACTGCTTTTACTATAAAGAAGAGGCAGCAACGACTTATGTGGATGCACTGCAAAAAAAAAAGAGTAAAAAGTCTGAATATACATCTTAGAGTGAGTATTTTTGACTTAGAGTAACATTTTCCAAAGAAGTGGACGCAAGATTTTACCAAAACACAAGAAAACGTTTCACTTGAAATGAGAATGTATGCTTTCCATTGGCTAATTTGTTGTTGTCATTTTATAACTCAAATGTAAACATGAACATACACGACATAAGTCCAAGACATAAAAAACTCCAAATTAAATAGATACAATCCGGGTGTCTCCAACCTTTTTCACCCAGAGAGCTACTTTCCCGGGACAATAAAGGCAGAGAGCTACTCCTTTAATCGAGCCTGGGAAAAAGATGGTGGTATATTGTTGTGATTGAGTCTATATTGATATTGGATATGTTATGCATGTCATTATGTATGATTGCATATTTATTAGTAGTGCACAAAGTAAGGGCATTTTCAGTAACAAATAATGATAATGAATAATACATTCTGAAATATCAAGTATATTATTTGATTTGTCTATTTCTAAATCCTTTGGCGAGCTGGAAGGGGTTGGCGAGCTACTGGTGGCTCCCGAGCTACAGGTTGGAGACACCTGATACAATCCATACAACTCAGCAGACGGACAACTCCAAACAGGCGTTGACTGTGAGGATACTTGCACCTTGTATCATAAGCCCCTCCAAGAGAACACTTTGATTTGCCTTGCTGAGTTTAATCTGGCAAAAAGTCATTCAGAAAAGGACCAGGGGAGAGCAGGGAACCAGCCACAACAGGAGGACAGACAAACTCGGCCATCGTCTCCCAGAACAGATCCCGGGGCGCTCCCAGACCATTGGAAAATCTTAGTGTCCGATTTGAATATACTGTATGGACAAATCAAGGCGATTATCTATGTTAGCAATTATCAATGTTTTACTTTAGAAGATGTTTCCCAATGTGCTGAATAGTTAAATTAATTTACTTTTATGACGGTCATTTACCAAGAGCACTGTTTAAATAAGGAAGGCCCTTTATGAGAGGTGATTTTGTTTTTTGTTTTTTCTGAACTAATTTTTCAGATAATACTTATTACTGTATTGAAAAAAAACGTGATAGACTCCCTTTAAAAACGAGTCGGTGCACAACACTGCGCACCAACAGTCCAATAAGCTTCAGTTTAGTTTTGAGCACAATATTCCAGTGTACTGTACAAACTCAGGCTAACTCTGCTTTAGCCTCTCTACCACAGAACCGCCAATATTAGACGCTTGAACGTGAATATGACATAATGTATAGGACACTCAATAACGACTGTCCTTTTCCTGTGGTGTGTTTTTAATACTTCAGCATGATTTGCACCTCTGTAAAGCCGACTGCCAGCCTTGATTTTGGCGATGCTAAAATCCAGCGCCTTTGGAAAGTAGAGGTGGGCAATACAAAATATATACAAAAACAACTTGCTATACTTTTGTGTTTTAATTATGATATTCAGACGCTAATTCTGAGGGATGATATATTGCTTCATAAAATTATTGCTATAAACGATACCTCCAATAAACCACTTTTTAAATCTGTCCATTTTATTGAAAAACATGCCAAGAAGAGTTATTTAGTCTTTAGCCATATTAAACCCATTACAGCTAAAATCTTACTTTTAATAACAAAATATCAAAAATCTCTACACTTTTGCAAAGAAAATGTACAGAAGATACATATTTGGGTTCAGAATATATTGCTTTATTCATTACTTATTGAACGCTAAGTCAGTATCATTATTTTTAGGTCTATAGGTTCATGAGTAGAAAAATTAGAGTCATAATTATTGATGTATTTTTATCAATTGGGTGTTTTTCAGCTATTTCTGTTCCGACTGTAACGGTTCACTCTATATTCATATATTTATTGTCTTGAAAACAGCAACTGCGAGTTTATCATTTGCCGATTTATTGCCCATCGCTGTTTGAGCATAGGAGCGTTTAAAAGAATGCAGCAAATTGGTTATTAATGTAAATAAAGTCAATACATTACTCAATAATGTGAAACAATGCTGTACAATTTCTTTGCCTGGACTGTTGCACAAAATGGCTTTTTCAGCTAACTTCACTCCTACGAATGCATGTTTTTCCAAAGCGGCTTCATGCAATAAAAAAAAAAACATGTTGAATAAATGTAATGTAGGTGTTAAATAATCTGAAGTGGAGCATTCCCGGCAAAGTTATTTCCAAATTAAACAGAGACATTCCCTGGAAGTTCGAAGCTGGTCAGTCTTTGCTCTAGTACAGTATATATTGACAGGTTTTAATTTGTTTTACTTCAAAACATAAAATTGACCTTGAGACTTTGACAGCACAATGAAAATGCCTTCTCTCCTATTCAAAGCTTGCTTGGTTGATACTTTTTTGTACTTGAACAAAGCAAATGGGGAAGCATTTTTTTGTGGTGTACTGTATGCTGGGAAATACATGTGAAATAAACTTCTTTGCAACAGTAGAAACTGTCCTTGCCTGTAATTTGCTTTAATTAACTTTACTGAAACCTTTGGGAGCGGCGTCAGTTCAACCACTGCTCACAACTGTAACTTAGTGCAAAACCAATTATCAGCACACAAAATTGGGAGAACTGTAAATGTCAAGAGGGGGTATATTTTTAGCCTCTTTCCTCCTCTTCCTTCGTGTCAAGGATTCCCACAACTCTTTCGGGGATTTGGCTTGTAGGTATTTTTAATCTGGGAGTGAAAATGACAGGTCTGACAGTCCCTAGGAAACAGCACACGTCCTCATTGAGATTCAAGCGGGAATATATTCAGAAAGTAGTTATTCAAAGGATTGTCATCACCCACTGGAGTTGAGGTGGAAATAAACTGGAGATTTCTCACATGATCTAGTCACACAATTGAATCCAGGTCATTTCTGTTTTTGTTTACTTAAGAATAGGACATTGATTTAATATGGCCCATTCATTGGCTTGATGACTTTTCTGACTATAGATGCAGAGCACTCTTGTAGTCTGTAGTTTTAAATATTTTTATTGTGTGTTTATTATGCTATTTAAATGTGTCTGTGGGGGTATTTAATGTTATCAATAAAATGAATTAGGTCTCAGGACAACACATCTCCCATCTCTCCCAACACTAATTGCTACATGAAGCTAAACATGCAAAACAAATACTAATTGTGTTAAAGTAATTCAGATTTTCTTTGGTGAATGCCAGCTCGTACAATTATACCAAGGCTGAAGTGACAGTATTTCAGGATCTTCTGCCACACTCAGTCTCCCAAAGAAAAATACCAAGGGACAATTCCAGTGACTTGAATGATGAACACAAGCTCAGCATTTACATCAGGAGTCAATCTCTGCGTCAGTGTCAGCACGAGCCAGTGTGGCCTGTATCCCACTGCTTAATTACCCACATGAAACAGTCAGGGAAATGTCAGCCATAAATAACTGCTCCTCCTCTGAAGACTGCCCTCTCAAAAGCAAGGTGTAGGAAAGCATGTGTATAATCCACTATACAAGAAACTGGTTTGGCCTTTAGGCAACTTTTTGAATATCTTAACTGTACTATTCTTCCACCTTTATCAGACAGTGACCGCAGTGGTTTGAATATATCCAATAAGGAACAGGTGTAAACAGAAGTGGGGATTTGTACACCAAGTTACATTTCTGCAACTGTGATGACTTGAGACTTTACTTAAAATGGTACACTTTGACTTAAAGGTCTCTTTCATACAAATTTTTATATATATGTATATATATAAAATCTCCTATTCACATTAGTCTCTCCCCATTTTTCAGAAAGTGACCTTGATCATTGGTTGCGTTTGTAAAAATGTTTTTAAGACTTGACACAAAGAATCCACGTTTTGTCTTCTGCTTGGAAAATCAACAACTTGAAACATACTTGAGGCTTGGTCTTGTATTGTACATTTGTTCTGATAACATTAATGTTCATAAGCACACATGAAAATATATGCACTGATAACTGGTGTACTTTGTGTACAAGTAATCCTTAGTACTGTGTCGCTATGATTGAATCTACGAAACACTATTTAGCATAATAAAATATCATTTTTCTTTAAAAATAAGGTAAAAAATAAATAAAATAAGACTTTGAATTAAGACAAAAATAGGAGGTGGCAGCCATTGAGATATTACAGAAAGTGTGTAATATTCACTGTGGCCACTAGATGGACTAAAACCCAAGAATAAGCAGCAGTAAGTGGAACCTTCAACACAAAACAATCAAGAGTAGACAAAAGTCGTTTTTGGACATGGCTAAAGCCCTTTATTAAGAAACAACATGTCCTGCTTTAGAAATATGAACTAAGAGACAGAGAGAGGACCGTCCAGCCTCGACTGAACTCAGTGCAAAGAATACTCCGGATAAGAATCGGCAACACAAAAAAAAAAAAAAAAAAACAGTATAAAGTGCATGTTTTGAGAGAGTGCCCTCTATCTGAAAGAGGCAACGAAGGTGACACACTGATAAACATTTAACAAAAGAGAACAGTAATAATAATGCATAATATGATATGGTCCTTAGACATTCATATTACAACCTGAAATCCAGTTTATATTTAGCACATCCAGTGGTTTTTACATGCATAACAGCTTAGCATTCATATCTACATTTTCTATGCTACTTACACCTGCCGGTTCACCGACAGCTCCACACATACATGCACTCCAATCCAGTTACTACAGACTCGCGTCCAGTTTTACATTGTATTGTACAGCACAGTGACAGCTCTATGCTTTTTATCCACGGATATTTTGCGACAATGCCTGGATGAAGTTGAATGTCCTTTTCCCTGTTTATGTGCAAACTCCACCCCGTCGCATTCGTCCTCTTTTTGGCAACAAGACCGATACTCATCTCGCTCGTTTTGGTTGGACGAAAGAGGTAAAATTCTTGACAAATGCGCCAGGACTTTCTGCTTTTTCTTCCAGGTGTCGTCGGCGTAGAACTGGGAGTTTCTGGAGTGTGATAATATCTTCGTGCGGGAGGTTAAGTCCAAGTGGTTCAGGTCGTTCGCGGACAGCTCCAGTGAGTCCAGTTTGGCCAAAGAAGCCGAGCGTTTCATTAGCGAAGGCGGGGTTAGCCCGGCTTGGCGTAGTCTTGCCTCTAGTTCAATAGCCCTACGCCAACCGATAGACTCCAATAGGACTTTTTCATCTTTAACCCTTGCAAAAACATCCAAACTCGAGTAACTATGAGCATCTTTACATACGTCAGTGTCCATTTTGTCTATATGATTCACCCCATCATAAAGAAATGCTTGTAACTCTTTTAGTGTTTGCTGTATTCTTTCAAGTTCCTGGCTACCTTTTTCTAACCTGTTCTGAGCTTCGCAATCTGGGCCGCACCCACAAGTTTTCAAACGGCTTTCATCAGTGTCCAACTCTTGAACTAGAGTCACTTTTTGGGGCTCAATGTGCAGTCTTTGGGATGGCAACGAGGTATGTAAAGATATGACCTGGCTATTACTTTGCGGCAAAGTCTTAGTAGATGGATGTATGGCACCTACATCTTGGCTCGAATCAGCAAAGTCAGAAGTGTCTATCATTTTAACGTGTGTTCCGTCACTACAATTTGGCAATTCGTCTTCTCCCTGAGCGTCTGAGCATTCATCTGCTTGTAGAGCGCGAGCGAGCGGGCTTTCGTTACTGGGGGAATGCAGCGGCGATCGAGGGCTCGTGGCCAGCATCTCCTGTTTGAGTTTTTGCTCCAGCTGCTTGGTCGCACGCCGCACGGATCCGATCGGCCACTCGCTGGACAGCATGGAAGCGGTGTGAAGCGGGCTGATAGGGGCTGGTTCCACCCCGGACTCTGGGTGAGGCTCGGCGGGAGGGAGGAGGAGTAGTAGACTGGGGGAGGAGGCGGAGGTGGTGATGGTTGAAGGGGAAGACGCTGGGTGAGTTATGGCTTCGATCTCCGTGACGATATGGCGGACTGATATGCAGTTGTCGGCGGGAGGAGAGCAGTCTTCAAACTGGAAGAGAAAGAAAAGTGAAGTTATTAGTTTACTTGTAATGTTGCTTACAATGTTAAACTACAACTAGAATGGGATTTTTGTTTAGCATCTAAATAATGGTACATCATAACTTTAAAATTATCAATATCAGTAAAAAAAAAACCTCCTGATTTGTTTCATGACTTTGTTGTGGCTGAATATCTATTCATCAACATATTCATTATCAGCAAACTTATGTCAAAAGCATGCAGAATTTTCTAGGCTGAAAACTATACTTTTCAACCACATGACAATAAAAAAATACCTTTTCTTTGTCAACACAAGAATAAAAGAAGTCAGAAGAAGTTGTTTTTTGCTCTATCCAACGCCCATGTTGCCTAAATACTTCTTCCTCAATCCTGGTACACTATGGGGAATCCCTAAATTATTGCGTCATGTTCAAATCATCAAAATTAGAAAGAATGAATGTTTTGGTGAAATTACATATATTTCAGCAGGCAATGTTTGATGTTGAGGGCAAATACAGATGTTTTTCTAACTGTATGTTTCAAATGAAATGATGAGGCTTGTATTGTGAATGCGTCTTGGCCTGGATACCCTTAACTTGGAAATTAAATGAAAAACAATTCGAAAACTGCTCATTTACCTGATGGTCATCTTTCTGAGTGATTCCATCTTCTTTAGCCTCCGGTTCTTTGTTTTCATCCGCAGTTGGTGAGGGCAGTGTTGAATTTGTCCCTTGCTCCGCTTGCTTCTGCGGCCTTCCGTCTTGGGCCAGTCCCAAAAACTTTTCCCGTGCGCTGAAGAAGTCTATCCTGTCCGTGCTGTGCGTAGAAGACCCATCCGCCTCGCCGCGACCCTCCATTGCGCCGTCAGAGCTCAAATGACTTGGGTTGTTGTTGTCGTCGTTGCTTTCGTTAGGTGAAATGCCAGGAGCCAAGACGACTGGACTGATAGGAGTCACTTTTCCGCTTGTGAGATCGGACAAATCTCTAATATCGGAATCGGTAGAGCCACACGTCTGCGGGGATGAGTCTTCCAGGCTGCATTTACGCGGCAAGTCCAGAGAGAGCTTAGGCACTGGATTGGCGTGATGCGTTCCGGCTAGCTGCGCGTGCTGCATTTTGGGCGTGGATGGGAGTATGTGAACAGAGGGAGGGGGGTGAGGTAAAGCTATAGGCACGGTTACGGCGGCGTCTTCGGGCACAACTGTCGCAGCCTGCGGGAGTGGAAGTGTGTCCGGTGCACGGCTCTCTTCGTGGTTTGCTGGGTCGCCCTCGTCGCTCGACTGGGATCCAGGTGAGGAGGAGGAGGAGGTCGGTGGGTCAGAGGCGAGAGCTTGCAGGAAGTGGTGCAAGGAGGGGGAGGAGGGGGAGGAGAGGATGCTGCCGCTGCTGTTGTTGTGGGAGTCCGAGCGCATCAGCGTGCCCGCCGCTGGTTTGCCCGTAGTTGCATCTGAGAGGTCGCCGTCAGAGTGGGAACGCCAGAGTTTGTTATGGCGCTGTTTGCTGCAAGAGAAGAGAGGAAAAGTTTATTCCAAGTTATGACACAAAAATATTGACAATTTTTCTTTTTGAACTTTAGTTTTTGTGTCTGTGAGCAGTAGAAAGGGTGTGGTCATCTGGAGGAGAGATGATGTGAAATATAACTTGAGGCAGGAGGAGAAAAATGTTTGTCGATATCGTTTTAAATAAATTTGGATCAATATAGTGCCCATTTTCTTGAGCATGTGATTGATAGATTACTTATTAATATTAACGTCTAGAATAACAGGCTGCTCAGGGAATCAAAAGCAGAAATCATCATGTGAAAAGCAAAAATCCAATACATGCCAACTTGTTAGGTTAAGGTCTTAAAGAACGTATATTGGTAGGTTTTCTGAGAATATGTCAGAAGAAAATAAATGGCTGATGATCATTACAACAATACTGTCTCCATGTATCATTAAACATCTGTTCACCAGTCGTGCGTTTGTAAGAAGTAGTTCGATCTCTCCCTATGCACCCCTCATCCTGTACCTGGCCAGCAGTATGCCCTGGTACTCCTCCAGCTGCTTCATAAAGGAGGGGTTGGGTTTGGTGATGGAGCGTTTATCTTTGACGTAGTCCAGAGCTGTGTCCAGGTCCCAGTTGTACTCCTTCATGGCGTAGGCGATCACCGTGGAGGCCGAGCGGCTGATGCCCATCTTACAGTGAACCAGACACTTGCCACCGGCTTTTCTGCAGAACGGGACATTTGCGAGCATTAGGGCTACAACCGTTTACAACACCAAATACGTTCCTCTATCCATCTATCTATTCATGCATGGGTCTATGCGTTCTTAACTTTCGGACACAAAGGCTAAGACACATGAGATTTCAGTTCTTTGGCTCTGGACAAAACACCTACTTTGCTTTTGTGATGAATTTGTAGGTCTCGTTCCAGTATTCCAGCAGGTTGGTGGCCTCTTCGTCGTAAACTCTGATGTTGTGGTATTCGAACAATCCCGGGAAAAAGTTGTCAATCTCCCTGGTCACGTTCAGGATGTATTGCACTCTACGGGGGGAAAAAAATCAAACAAAAAGGAAAGATTGAAAAGTGGATCGCTCTAGTGTAATTGAACACCACTAAATCTTATTCTTATTATGATTAAGGTCACGACTGTAGACTCGGCGGTGCAGGAACCTAATTTTACGCTACAGTGGCTGTGAGAGTTATAACCATATTGAACCTTACCCACTGTTCTGCAGTTCATCCAGGTTAGAAGCGTTCCACTCGGAGCCCTAAGACGAGATGAAGCAGGTAAGTATTTGTCCATTAGTCCATTCCAAATCAACACAATGTCAATACTACCACTACCACGATTACATTAATTAAAGCTCCAATTATCTACTAGCCATGTATAATCTTTCCACAATTGCTGCAATACAATGCCCAAATATCCAACAGCAGCCTGGCTAATGATTTTGTAAGATATGGGAAGATCCGGCCTTTTTTGTACACGATGCGGTAATCTAATCTTTGCTGATGTGAAACAGGACACCCACCAGGAAAACGTGGTCAAAAATCTCCGTGGGGCTGTCCATCTGTCCCAGGATTACGATCATCTCGTTGTCGATGAACCCCTTGAACTCACGCAAATTACAAACCATTTGCATCTCCAGCTCTGTGCGGATCTGGGGAAGAGGAGGCAAGCATTTACATGGCTGTAGGTTTTTCAGGCATTGCTCTTGCATACAAAAGGTGATGTACAGACATCTATTGGTCATTGCTCACCGCCTCCTTGCATCACTTTTTAGATAGAATTACCACAAAAAATATCCTGCTATTAATATTTAAACTTAAAATGTATCAACCATTGGCATAACTATCTATTGTGGAATGAAGGCGATATCACAAGATAGAATAAGTTAAGGACAAGATTCCTTCAATAACTGATGAATTAACATACACAGTGTGGGATCACTGGTAGGGACTCCCTTTTTTGATATTAAATTTCTACATAATTGGGGGTCCCAGTAAAAAAAAGAATCATAAAGAAAATGTATTTTTAATTAGTCACTTACTTTTGCAATATGAACTAAAAATAAAAATCAACCAAACATAATTATTCAATTTGTAAATTTCATCTGGTCATTAAATATTTGTTACTACAGTTTTATATGTTGAATTTGATTCTCATTGCTCATTGTGTTGGCATCCTTTGGGGGAGTGCCTCTGACAACCCCCAGTGTGGCCCGGACCCCACTTTGAGAAACACTCATTTTGAATACATTTTTATTGAGGTATGACTTGGCAGGAAACATAGCTGTTTAATAATCAGGATTGAAAAATGAAATCTCCAAGCCAAATCGTTCTATAATTGGAAACCAGTACCTCTTTGCAGGTGACATTCTCCAAGTCTTTTTGCATCATGATTTCTCGGAGTCTCATCTTGATTAGCCTCTCCGTGCGCTCTCTCTCCGTCGGGCTGCACAAACAAACACATCCATTATGATCCATTTTTGTTTGAATATTTGCATAATAGCGCTGGCATGGGGGCCCGTGTGCGCCATCACAACAAAGCAGCGGTTGTTGATGTGGCTGCTGTTGTCTATGGATCCGTTTCTATCCACTTTTCTACGGGACAAAATTAGCCTCCGCACGTCACGCTGATGATACCCACGAGTGTCCTAATGACCCCTCGAGAGGACAGGAGCGCTATGAAAGGAGACCCCGATTTCTCCAGAGCTTTGTGCAACCATCTGAGATTTCATAACACTTTGAAGCAACTTTTGGTAAAGTTAAACTTATCATTCTATCAATGTGCAGAAGCCTGTACTTTTCCCTTGTTTTGTCTATCTGAAGGCCAAGCTACAAGCACACCGTGGCAGCTGCAGATTGGAGGTCTCCATGCCTCCGCTCTGTATAATACACTTCCATTCTATTGTATCTGTGATCGTGTGCTTTGTTCGTGCTGTCTCTACCATCGACAATAAAACATGTCTTCTGTCTGAATTTAAGACGCGATCCCAGACTGTCATCTTCTTCACTTCCTTTGTTTTTCATAAACACATTTCATCTTAGAGTTAAAATAGTACCATACAATGTTATCCTTCTGATAGAGCAGCTATAATATTAGAATCAGAGTTATTTTACAGCCATTAAAAGTGACAGAAGTCACAAACTAGAAATATGCCTTGACTCAAGCTGCAACCGAGCTTTGGAGCCACAATAGTGTAGAAATAGAATTAGATAAATGCATCAACCATAAAATAGAGATTATTTGTAGCCAGTGCTAATATCAAATGGTAAAGGGACCATTTCACAAGCATTTACTTCAAAAGTAAATAAAGTTCATTACAGTTTATGCACAGTTTTATTAGATACTTGTCAAATTCACTTATGTTCACACATGAGTGAATGTTGACAATGCAAAAAGTTCATGAGTGTAGCCTAGATTAATGCCTAGATCAATGAGATAGATTAGAACCAACAGAGATTCAAAAGCATTTTATTGTATTTGGGTAAAGCCCAAAAACAAAAAGTAGATATTTAGATATTGAGAAGTTTTCAGCACAAACACCATTGTAGAATAACTGACCCCAACCCCAAACCTGCTATGACTAATGTTATTGTTATTTAGGTTCCCGGTCACTGTGATGGAAAATTAGTGGATACAGAACTCGGCAACGGACTGGATGTTATGAAGGAACCTATGATGAAAAAAAAATATTTTAGATGTAAAATGCATAAAAACATAAATTCAAGCCAATTCAATGTCTTCCTGATATTATGAGCAGTTTATTGGGTTATTTTCAGGTTTTATTTTTTGTTTACAAGGCTACTTTACTTATATACAAACTATTCCGATACTAACAAATGGATACCAAATTTGATACCACAGTTATATTCTAAATTTTTGAGTGAGCTATGTATTTTTTGAATAACAATACAATACAATAAAACCTTGAGAATTGAGAGTCTCAGAGATTATTTTGTTGTTGTTGTGAATATTAGAAGTCTCATATCTTGCTTGCCACAACCCCGCCCACTCCATTTTTCTTTCGAATATTCGCAATTTCTGCTCTTTGCCAAAAATCACAAAGAACTGGGAACTGGCTACATACAGACTCTGCAAAACGGGACACGTGATAGGGGAAGAGCCCAATGAGGGTGAATTAACCGATTGTTTTCATTACATTTTTATTGGTAGACACGCCTTCCTAAATACCTCTAATACTTTTGAATTGCGTATCTAGCCTCAACACCAGTTTTAGTCTTGATCGATATCAGATAAGTCCTACTTGTAATAATAACACAAGCTGCCATTCACTACACATGATTATAATCTACTGTATTTTGAAACAGTAGAAACATGCAAAACCAAACGTGAGGCAAATGTCTTGGCTCAGGGCTGCATCTTTGTCCTTACGTAGCCTTCTTCCAGAGACCAGGGTGAAGACTGCAAGAAACCCATTTGCTCTAACAGAACAAAGTACTAAAAACAAGCCTCGGCATGCTCCACAAAGCCTCAGGGGGCCATTACTGGACATTATTAACCAAAATGATGCGTTGATTTTCTGACGACACACAGCTTGATAGATGAAACAAACTTGGAAAGTACAAGGCAGCGGGAATTCAAAGTAATGCCAGTAATAAAATGTAGCCACACACAACATGATGGATCATTTACCGCAATCTGCACCTGTCATTAAAGATTGTACCAGGAAGTGAAGCGGTGCTCTGTTAGGCTCGATAGTTCAACCAAGAGTTTTTACTTTATGAACGTGCTGGAGGCCGACTCTAATCTTATCACTGAAAGTACTTCAGAGGGAAATCTTTTGTTAGATGCTTATTATGGTCGCATAGTGGGGAAAAACAAACAGACCGAGTTGCGACCCTTGACACTTGAAAAACAAATGAATTAATCAACTCGAAGTCAGGACATTTCCCGTTTACAGATTGGTTACTGATAATTCACTATTTCAGACGTACATTTGGTCAATGTGAACCTATCATTTCATAATAATTGCGCTGCATGCTGGGTAATTGGTATGTGGTATTTTGGAGCAAAGATTAAATGCAGGAAATAAATTAACTAATTAATTAATATCAATTAAAACTTCCAGGGGTTAAGAGAAAAAATGTACAGTATAGCACAGAGTAAAACTGATTTCATATACAAATTTAATTTAATCTAAAGTAATTAATGGAGCTTTAACAACTTTTTCATGGCAAGCAATGATATGGACATCAAACTAAAACATGGATTGGCTTTAGTGGACAATCTATTCAGAATCTATTAAGAGTATGAACAGACAATGTTAAAATCAATCATCTGCTTCCTTTATGTATTGTATGTGGACATCAAAGCAAAACATTGACAGGTTACTACACAGACCAAAACGCAGGCATCGAGCCGTTTACATGTTTCATTCGTGAAGGTTATTTAATATGTGCTTGTTTTTAAATCTTTCACAGTGTTAATAGTTTGCCTATACATGATTGTGTCTTTACAGTATTATTGTTTGTGTCTTCTGTGCATGCTAGCTTTTTTTGCACAAATATTTGTTTTTAACCACAGTTAACTTTTATTTTACAAGCCTTTATAGGAATTAGTGCATTGTGAGATGCACTAATTCCTTGTAATACATAACAAATGAATGGTATTACTTCATATTTGTCCCAGTGACACTAAATGAACCTTAAACTTGTGGAGTAACAGGTCCACACTTTCACCTCGATCTAAACAGCACCTGTCTCTGTTTTTCCACATTATAAATCTTTCGCTATTTGTCTCCCTTTTTCCAAACATAAATTAAGCCAGCTCAGGCCTCAGCTATTTCGGACCCTGGGGGCCTTCTACAAGACACTACAAATAGGTGGCGAGCGCACGTGACCCAGCGGCAGCAGCTAGGGGAATTTCCCTGCTGTTAGCAAAGACATAAATCCACTGCTCAGCGTCATTCCCTGGACTTTCTACCAAGGATTTCTTGACATCTTAATGTTTCTGTAACTACAAAGCCATCTATGTCCTACTATGTCCAATATGAACTTAGACAGGCATGGACTTTCTAAGCTTAAGAATATGCCTTTGTTCTTGGCGCCTGGGGACATGTGACCTTCCTGTCCCATGTGTTTAAAAGCCGCCTGTGAAGTAGAAATACACCAACACACCAAAACAAAGATGTATTTGCATATTTCATACTGTATCTTGAAGATAATCATTCACCTCTGGGCAGGGCTGGACTGGCCATCGGGCGTACCGGGCAATGCCCGAAGGGCCGATGCCCATATTTGGGCCGGTCTGTCTGCCACATACAAAAAACATGTTTGTGAAAAGTGTAAATCCGTTGAGAAATGTTTGAGGGGAGCGCGCGTGTCCGCGGGGCACCTGCTGTATGTACTCGAACGGGATTCCACCACCTCAGCGGCCGCAGTGTTCCCACATCCAGCGGCTCTGAGCTGGACGCGGGAACCGCTCACAACACAACACTCACCGTGTTGTGTTGTGAGCGGTTGTACGGCTACTCAAAGTACATGGTCACGTTGCGTAGCCGCAACGTGACCATGTACCCAAGACCATAAACGCGCACAGGACCATGCATGTATTTTTCTAATTTGTGCACCCAATAAATAGACCGCTGCAGAAAACAGTCCGCGTCTCCCCTCTCCTCTAAATTAAAGCTCGGGTGCCTACATTTTCCATTGCATTAAAAGTTCATGTTTGAGCCCAAAAGTAAAATGTTGTGAACAGATTAAACAGATTTAGAGCCAATATGCATTTCAGAATTTTTGACCAATTCTCATCCCTGTAACAAAAAATAGTATTGTCTGTGTCCACCTCCCTCACTCTGAGACATGTTTATTTCTCTGTTTAATGCAGACTATTGTACTGTATTTTATTGTTGAAACTGCAGACATCCTGATCCTCTACAGTATTTGCTTTCCACATACTGTATAAACCAGGGGTCAACCTTTAGTGCCCCTAAAGTGGCTCCTGGAGCCTTTTCAAAAATGTCTGAAAATGGAGTGTGAGGGCTATATTTTATTTCTAGTTTGAATGTGGTTTCTGTAGAAGGAAAAACCTTCTTAACGTTTTTCAATGCTGCAAAAACTTGTATAAGTAATATTCAATTTTAACTCTGTGTGCGCATGGATCCTAAAGATAAAGAGAGAAAGAGTCGATAAGACTGGACTAAGAATGAGAATGAACATTTGCTTTCAGTCAATGAGGAAGGACTGCTTCATGTTTGCGAAGTAATGAAAGGTTTTGTTGCAACACAAGGAACAATGAAGCTTTAAACACGTTCACTGAAAGATTCATTAATCAAAAAGTCAGAGCACCTATTTTCAGACTTCAAAAACCTTCGCAAAGACGGTGAAAGAAAAGGCCATTAAGGACATTCAGCTCCAGCAAACTTCAGCCTGTGATGGATATGAACAGACAGTGATGCAGGTGAACTCTGAGCCAAAAAGCAGATTTATTTACTCTATTTGTACAATTGCATGAAGGTTAAACTTAAAGCAGAGTTGTCACGTGGTGCGTCATTCTCTCCAGGACACGCTGCAATGAAAATACATGATAATCATGAATGGTTTTTATGTGTTTAGCCTTTACTTTGTCATTTAGATATTAGGCTAATATAGCTAATAAAGCTAATATAGCTAATGTAGCTAATACAGCTTCAGCCCCTGTTACCTTCATATAAGCCTTATACAACGCTGTTTTTTTTTTTTTGTCAAATAGGGCTCCTTGAACCTTTTGAGTTGCCTGGGCCGCTAAAAAGGAAAAAATGCCCGGGCCGTTTTTTTGTCCCAGTCCAGCCCTGCCTCTGGGTGCTTAGTCTAAAGAAGGTGCCACCACCAGGTTTAGTGACAGGTTAGATCTGTCGTATGACAAGCCCGTTTCCAATCACTGCATCATTTCCGATGTCATTTGGGGAAACTCCGCACTGAATAAATCAGTAACAGCGAAACAGACAAAAACAATGACAGAAATCATTATCAACAATCATAAAAGGAATAACCCCTTGTCCACTAAACCTTTTTTTTTGTGAGGGGATCCTCATCTTTTTCATGTTATTAATCAGCATATTAGGATTTTAACTACATTTTAATTATTTCCATTAAAAAACATAAAAAAAACAAAAAAACAATAAATAATCATCAGAATTCTAATAACAATAATAATGCTCAGCTTATATAGAGTATGTTTAGTGTGAAACCAGGAGCTGTGTGACATTTGATTCAGTAGACCTTCTAAAATAAATAGGCGTTTTACAATTAGGAAATTCACTGAAGGCCCATATTAAACGTCTATGCAAAACACAATGCAGGCAAACAGTGTTTTTGACTGGGCAGGCAATATAGCAGTGGAGCAGTCAGAACATGGGAAAATCTGAGGCTGGTGTTGAAGTGAAAGGAGACATCTCCATTTCTGGAAAGAGTGAAAGGACATTTGTGAACTGTTTCTCTCTGAATCTGGTTTATTTGTGTAATGGAAGTTTTTGCATTACTCCGGGTGCATGTTTTTCATAAACACGTTGCACCTGTTCCAGATAATGTCAACATCCAGATAACGTCTCTTAAAATCTCCCTGAAGCTTTTAAGGTTGTTAAGGGTCATCAATATTCTCAAAACAGTAAATATGGAACACATGTGGATAAAAATCTTGTGATTTTTTTTTTGAGGAATCACACCACTAAAAGGCCAAAAGTAGTGCCATGGTTTGCATTCTGAGAGTTGCGTACTGCTCCTCCACAAATAAAATGCCATAGCACCAACTCACTGGGGTAGATTCAATCATCTACCTTTACATTCAACATATTAGAATGTCAAGATTGTCCCAAAAAACCTCTTTGCTTTAGCTCCAGTTTGTGCATGATTCACTTCCATAATATTCTGTAATTTGCACTTGTTCCAGGTCACACCCTAAACCCTGGTCTGTAACCCTTTTTCATCGTGTGTCCACTCACAGGTCAGTGAAGAGGACCGGGGAGGAGGCGCGGTGAGACTCCACGTCTTGCATAGCGTTCCACTCGTTGACGCAGACTTGACTGGAGGAGATTCTGCTCTGGTAATAACTGACCCACGTAAGGAACAGGCTCCCGGGGTAGTAGTTATGGCACCGGGCCACTTCGCAGGCTTTGTGGAGGGACTGCAAAGCGGACCTAGAAACAAGATTCCCAAGATAAGTGAAAGGGCTGGCCTAAAAAGGAACACATGTGGAAAAGTGAAATGGGTAGATTTGCAAGTTTGCACGTGTTTGGTTTACAAACAACGACATTGACACGAAAACGATTATCACGATCGTCAAATACATACAATTAGGTACAATAGATCTGGCATGCACCTTCTTTACTGGCGACCTCGCTCCCATCTCTGTGTGGAGTGCGAGACAATAGCCCAAAAATAACAATCGTAAACCGCTTTGTGTCTGGTCTGAGAAAGGCGCTATATAAATAAAGAATACTTACTTAATTTCAGCACAAAGAAATTCACTTTCTTTGTGTTGAAATTCACACAGAAACATTTACTTTTAGAGAATATATTTTATGCAGAGCCCTGTGTGTGTAATACTATTTTTATGTTTGTCACATGTTATAAACAAATACATATGAAGTACTGATAAGAAACAGCTCTCCAGTGTCTGTAGGTGAAAATCAGAAAATGAATAAATGTCTTACCACATGGCTTGGACAGAAACTGGCTTGAAGACGTGAACTCTGTTGACCGTGGACACGCTGAAACCACTGCGAAAGGAGAGAAAACACACTGAGAAAAGGGCAGGACACCATCTATTTAAGAGCAAAATAAACAGGTCTGAGAGTGTGTCAGTACGCATCCCCTGGGAGCACAAGGGGGAGGTGGAAGGAAGGTGTGGTGTATAGTCTTACAAGAGCAGAGCTGAAATGCATGTCAGACACTCCAGAAATCTTATATTATCTCCCCCAGTCTTTCTGACTAAATTCTGCCAGTTCTCTCTAACAAGAATAGAAGAACTCTTGGCTTCATACAAACATGTAAGTCTGTAAGCCATTTTATGTAGCCCTCTTGAAATCCAGCCACACTGCAAAATAATTGCTTGAATCAAGTGTTTTCTTCCTAAATTGAGTATATTCTGACTGTCTTAAAACAAGATTTGCCAATGGGATAAGCCATTTAGACATATTTTAAGAACTGTTATTTATTTTTCATTCCATTCCAAGGTAAATCTTGTTTTAAGGCAGTAGAAATTGCTCAAATTAAGATAACTTGTGTTCATCACTTTTTGCAGTGCACCTTCCGTTCTGCCAATAGAGGGAGGCTTTACATTGTTGTAAAGCTCAGACTATATTGTATTGTATTGACTATAAAGACATTTTTTGTAATCGTGGAACAAAATCCTGTATATCAGTGCCGATGTTGCTGGTGAGAAAGAAACTTCAGCTCAGTCAAAAGCAATAATCAATCAATTAATATGGGACACATTTAAGAACATCCTCCAATCAAGTTCAACAGTTTCACAATCCAGGTTTTTGGCCCGCGACAAGTCTGGTTGAACTAAGTGAGTTCAACCAGAGTTTAGACAATGAAACTTTTGCAAACGCATGTACATGTAATTTTCTTTATTTAGTTGAAGTCAAGACATTTTACCAACATTAACTCCAGTGGCATAGACAGAATCTGTTTCTGTGTTTGTATGGCTTGTATTTAACAGGATTTTCTAGTTTGTGTGGTAATTTGGCTTTTACGTTTTTGGCAATGAATGTGGATGTGTTTAGCCCATTGCTTGTCCAACATGGGAAGAAACAAATCCTGGCTAATCTTAAAATCTAAAAAGAATGCTATTGCTTTCTTTTTTGCTCGAAACAGGAGTAAAACCCTCTTCTTACCCATCTCCATCCAGGTGGATCAGTGTGTCGCTCCACAGAGGCAGCACGAGGCCCACAGAGCAGCAGCTGCAGGAAGAAGAGGAGAGAATCAGATAAAATGAACAAAACAGTGCACTTTCCACACGCTCATATCCACCAAAACTTATCCTTTCGGCTCTATGTTAGTGCTGCTTATGAATGCAGCAATTAGTATAAGAATGCCACAAAGTAGGTAAAAACGTATCAAATGTATTCAAATCCAGGAGTTTTATGACATCTCATCAATCATTCTGAGCAAGATGATAATATAGCTAAAAAAAAAAAAAAAAACATGTTTTAGACAAACTTTGTGTCCTCCCCTGAATTGCATTTATAAGCTCATGGAAGTATAAAGTTGTCATTTGAACTGTAATAATCATTTGTAAATACAGCATAAGTAGATTGGACAATTGAAAATACCTATACGGCAATGGAACTTATCAAAACATTATTAATACAGTAATTTAACTCGTATTATTCTCTTGATCCCGAAAGCTTTGTGCTTTTGGCTTTTGGTGTGTGAATGTGAGCTCACAGTATTACAGTATTTCAGGGAGAGCAGATGGACCCTGGAACAAATGGAGTCAAATGAAGTCTAGATAATACTATTCTAAACTTCCTCCAGCCTTATCAGTCCTTATCCCCGAGCCCACTCCAGGCCAGTTCCTGTGCAGCACTGACCTATCGGAGGAAACGAAGTCCATGCCCAGCACAATGCTCTCCTCTGTGTCCTGACGACCGTTGGTGGAGACGACCACCATGTAACGTGTGACCTGAGGGAAGGCTGTCTCCAGACGCACGGCCTGCAAAACACACACACCTTCAGATATTTAAAAAAACCAAAACAAGACGTTTTTTCTGTGAACCAAGCGCACTAATCACTGTGCCACCTTAATGTCACGCCGTAAGATCTAATGTCTTTACAGTGTGCCAGGTTTTGCAGTATAGCATTAAACTCTATATCCAACCTCTCCATTTTTGATGCTGTGGAACATTCAAAACCATGATAAAGCAAAACAAGAAAGCAAACCTAAAATAGTAATTAAAAGCTGGCAAGTATTATAATGCAATTTAAAATAATGCAATTTTTGGTATGGTTTTTTTTTTTTTAAATTAGAATAGAACAGTTTCTATTAAAATATTTATATAGAATTCAGGAGATGCATCATATCCATCTTTGAACGCTTCCACCTGCTTGTATTCAGGCTATAGATTAAATATCATATGTTAATCATTCTGGACAAAGTCATTTCACATCATAAAAAAAACAGATAACTTGAAATTAAAAAACTATTTGCATTCTTTGGTGGGAAAATAAGTTTAAAAAAATAAGAGTGGAACAGGATTTTGTGTTACTCACCAGTCGTATCGTGTCCTCGGGCCTCAGCACAGTGAACATGGTCTGGAGATGTTTTTGGAGGTCACCTGGTTCGAAAAAGCAACCTGTTATCATCCAGTTTCAGCTTATTTTAAGACAACAAAAACGTCCTCGTGTCTGATCCCGGCTACAATTTTATTTCACCTGAGGAGAGTTTCACCTCCTGTTCCCTGACCCAATATCGCCTTTCCTCTACGCACAAAGACCCATGCTTTTGATAGTACTTTCCAATACTTGTTTAGACAGGCAACATAAAACCTGCTATTGTGAGGCGGGATGCAACAAATGTTTGTTTAACACTGACACGTTGGATTGGGTTTTGTTTGGGAAAATTTGTAAAAAAAATAAATAAATAAAAACTACTGTTAAATAAAGGATGTTGGTTGAAAGCAAAGTGTATATTTAAATTTATATATTTCGAAACTATTTAATTTGTCCACTTTAACGGCCTATTACATTGAATATTAGAGTGATAAAAAAAAGTTTGGAAAAAAAGTCAATTCAGTCACATTACTCAATATAAAATGATAAGAATAATTACTACAGTTAAACATCAAAATTTCCGAAAATAAAATACATTGTTATACACTGCTCAAGATCTTAAGTTAGTCACCAAACCTCGTCTAAAACAAAAACCTAATTGAGGACCAGGTTGGCAGATTCTTCTTGGGCTGGTCCAACATTATGGCTGTAATAAATGTGCAGTCATATTTTTATTGCCTGGTTTGTTGTTTAGTGAAGTCTTGTTTTGTGCAGCTGTTAACGATGATGTGGTCGTGCTCATTAAAAGCAGGGAGTGTTTGTTTAATCTGGGGGTATCTGAGGAGGCATGTTCCTGGAGTTCTAAGTCACGAGATGAAGAGAAATGCAGTGAGGAGGAGCAGCTGTGGGGAAATATGTCAAGATTTTCGGTCAGTGTCGAGCCGAGACGGGAGACATTTTAACTTATGTAAAGAAGTCTAGGAATCTATATACTAGGTTTTATATTAGTGCTTGTTTTGTAGATTTTCATTCAATTACATGAAAGATATGTATGTGGCACCATCAGCCTGTCAGATCTCAGAAGCTAAGCAGGGTAGGACCTGGTTAGTGATGTGATGGGAGAAAGCTGTGAACACCAGGTATTGACTTTCTTTTGTTAAAGTAAGTTAATATGGAACACGATAGGCAAGCAGGTTATACTACAGAATAAGATGTTAAAAAAACATGTGTTTTATAATACTGTGGTCACCGACCGACCAGCAGATCTCCAAGGGATTTAAAAATGCTCTATTACAGGCTGAATTAAGCAGTGCAGTAAAAAAAAAAAAGAATTTTTCTATAATATTAAAAAAAAAGTATATAAAAAAATACAGTAAATCTATCCCACAGTACCCAAGCTTGTTGTCACGGCTATCTTGACACATTTTCTTGGCCCCATTTGATGCTCTGCCTTTTTTGTTTGTAAAAGTATATCTCTGGAAGGAATCTTTTGGACAGCACCTGCATAAGACTTCAGACATGGCACTATGACAAAAGTGAAAGTCTATTATTTTACATCCCACTTGCTCACCGGTGTGCTTGTTGTGGCGCTGGCTGAGGCGTGGTGGTGTGGAGTTTGGGGTCGGACTGTTCCCTCGGGGCAGAAACAGAGCGGCTCCTTTAACTGTGAGGAAACTCTCACTGATGCTGAAAGACAAGAACAAAGCGCGGACGTAAGTAAGAGGTCCCATCCAAAAAAACAAAAAAAACATGTCTTATATAATGCTATCATTTAATTTGTCAACATTGTTTCATAACCAGCAGAAGATGACTGATTTATATTCACTTAATGAACATTGCTCTCAGCGCTTATATTCATACAGTATTGTGGTTTTCCAAAGGTGGAAGTTTGATACGCCAAAATCAGTACCGGGAAACAATGTGACCTACATATTCAGAATCAGAATGAATGTATTACCATTTGCAGAAAAACCTACATTGGAATACAAACAGGAGATAAATCTCAAGAGATCAGACATTGGAAAAACTTAGATATTTGATGTTCTTTCTCCTACTGTGCACTTCCACAAAGCGGCTCCTTTATCTAGAATATCTCTATAATCTAATGTATTTTGAAAAATTTGTGATTTCAATTGCTCTATTCAATAAGAAAAGTGGTAGCGTAGTGGGTTGACTGTTCAGGACCCAGGCTGGTAAAGGCTGCAAAAAAGTTCAACAAAATATTTAAATTTCACACATTAGGTCTATTTCCCAATTTTGCACTTAACTAGAATCTAATTCTGCACTACTTAAAGAGATTGTTTCCCTTCACCAGTCATTTTAGGCTCCTAACCCCATTTGTGTGTTGCATCTGTCCGCATTTGACTTTCATGCCTCATCATTTCTCCACAACAATAAATTACAGTTGCTCTCGTCGCTGCCAAACTTCTCTTCTGAACCGCCCCGGACTGACTGTTGTGAAGGGCTTATGTCACACTCACAATGCTCCATTCATGTGATTCACAGCCGCTCGGCCCAAAACGCAGCCGACGAGCCGATATGAGCAAAACAACATCTGAACACTTTGTCCTCAGCAGCTGCACATCTGGGCTCCTCTCAAGTGCTGCTGCCAAAGGAGGAGGAACAGTTTGGATGTGGAGACTCCACTGACATATTTCAACAGATAAGACTCATTCAGTAAATATTCCATGTGGTGAAGTAACAAATCCAAATAATATATTTTTCTTACCATAGGACACTGAAGAATTCAATTCATTTTCAATTCAATGTATTCTTGTATAGTCCTAAATCACAACAGTAGTTATCTCGGAGGACTTTACACAACCATTGAATATGCCAAGACGCCATCAGAGAATCAAACGGTTCAAACACAAGAAATAAAACTGAAAACACATTGGTCCATAAGGGAAACAGTTATTTACAGTAAGTACATTCCAACAATAACCTATTTAAAATAGGAAAAACTATGACCAGTAAAATCTTAGGGAGGAGCAGTGTTGGGCACGTTACTTTGAAAAAGTAATTAGTTATAGTTACTAGTTACTTCTCCCAAAAAGTAACTGAGTTACTAACGGAGTTACTCCACTATAAAAGTAACTAGTTACCAGTAAAAGTAACTATTGCGTTACTTTTTCGTTTTGTTCTGGAACATAATGTGCACCCGACGTGCGCATTTTTACCTTTAACAGTGCCAATATTTCCATCTAGAAAAGGCTGTTTTGCTGCTGAAGTCCTGTTCACTCTTCATCTCTCTCTGTGCTGTAAAGCCCGCCACTGTGAATGTGGAAACACCGGTGACGAGCGGTGAGGCTGGTGAAGCACTGACTTCAGTCCAATCAGATGAACATATACATCATATAAATCAAGTGGACAATTTGTTTGGCTACAGCAAAATATGTTTTATGCCCGCATTGTGTGTTCATACAAAACGCAAAACTATGAGTTATGGGTCTTACCTTATAGCTATACCTTATAAATGACCTGCACAGCCACTTCGGTTCAGACCAGTTCCTTGTTTAAATCCAGTGAATGGTTTGAGCGTAGATATGTAATCCTCCATTTGGAAATGAGTCCAATGAGTTTTAAAAAGTAAAACAAAACGCGTGTGTCCTCCGTAAACTCCTCTGTTTTGCTGCAGCCGGCTGCATCCAATTTCTAAAATCAACCGTCTTACACTTCACCTCTCTTTCTTATCATTCCTATAGTAATTGAAAAATTACCCTATGTGCATTTTAGATTATGTAAAAATGTGTTATATGTATGTTAGCCAAACCTGTTGCTGTCCTTAGCAGATAAACCAGGAAGAGCAAGGAGCTTATCGATGGAATTGTATGCAGCCGACTTCTGCGCTCACATGCGCTCCTCTGTGGCTGACCTCACGGTGATACAAGCCGTGGTTGAGCGCGATTAAGACCCATATTTGTTTCAAAAACACAATTTATGAGCCATCCTCTCAACTGTAGACATGTAGATTGTAAAGGAAATATGATTTACATCAGCCAATAATTGCTGAGAGGTTTTCTCATCCTCCCTTCTCTCATGACAACACGTTCATTGTGCGTCTTGAGTAACGCGCAGTAACGGGATGTCGGAAATGATAACGGCGTTATAGTTACTGTCAAAGTAATTAGTTAGATTACTCGTTACTGAAAAAAGTAACGGCGTTAGTAACGCCGTTACTAGTAACGCCGTTATTCCCATCACTGGGGAGGAGAAGAGTTAAACCAATGATTAAGGGACCTCAAGAATTTGAATACATTTAATCAATCCGAAAGCTGCAGAGGTAAGCATGGCCGGTCTAACCAGTGTGTCTTAAAATAGTGTCATGGTACTTTTAAAATCGTCACTGAAATTCACTTTTAGAGATGAACAATAGAAAATGTGTAAGATAAAATCACTTCCGTCCGCACCAGTTTTTTTTTTTTTACTTTCCTTTTGCGTTGGAAGCAAGTATGTGATTTCATTCTGCCACGCTACAAGTTTTATCTGTGGAAAGGTGAGGGACTTCACAAAAAACGAGGTATTAAAAACAACCAAATTATATAAAAAAACAACAGCGTACATGTTTTATTGTATACTGTAATATGTGTCTATTGTTAGTACTGTACTTTGGCCTTGCATAGATTTAGTTGGTATGTTACAGCTACACTTACATACTGCTTTATAGGACTTGACTTGCGGTATTCTGTGTGGTCAATCAACTCTCTGGAAAATTAGATTAGCTGTGACTGAAGCTGCCCTGAGGAGGACTCATAAAACAAGTCTACTTCAGAGGCAGTGGACGATGTGAAGATCCACTGTGGGGTATGAGAACGGAAGACTGGGGTTTTGTTCAGGCACTGTGACAGAGTAACCTACAGTTGCACTAAATGCCATAAAAACAGGTGGAAACGCCCGATTTCTAAAGAGGAAAGGGAACAAATTCAAACCATGTGACCAAGAAGAAGTTGATAATGATGATCTGAGGACAACTATCAGAAGAGGAGGATATAAAAGGGTGCATTTAGGACACTCACAATGACAAACTGTATTGTACTAATTCTTGGGTTTCATTAAACTGGCCAGTAGGGGGCGAATGATCAGAGGTGGGGCAACTCAGTTTTGCTCCCATTGAAAACCATGTAAATCGTGTCTGTTTTGGAATCAAAAGGCTCTCCTCCTATGCGGTGTACGGTTGTTGTAACAGTTTTAATCAGGAGGGGGACACTCAATTCTAAGGGAGTACTAAAAAATATTTCTCAAAAGAGTCTTGATTTCAGGCATTTTTGGAAAGAAACAGAAGAAATTGCTGCGTTTCATTCGGGTGGCCTGCAGGGGGCGCTTATCTATTTTTTCAAAGTGTACTTTATATGAGACCACAGTTGGAACACGGAAGAAACTCGTCTTTCTCTCTATTTGCGCAGTTGCTACAAGAGTACACCGCACAAAAAGATGGCATTTTTACAGCGCTTCTTCTTATACTAAATCTCTGTATAAACCCGGCAGACTGCACCGCCAGGATACGTCACGTCCTGTCCCACGATTGTTATTCGCGCCACTGCCCTGACGTCATATGAAACCCAAGAACATACAAGCATGCACTGATCCGGCTTTTTCATGTCTTGAGTGGTCATGATACTTGGCTCAAACTAAATAAATGCTTTTATTTCTTCAAATCACAGCTAACTTTTTCCAAAATGGATCCATATGGGTTTGTTTTAAAGTGGACATATCGTGTTTTGAAATAATTGATTTTTACATCTAAATCATTAATTTGTGGTCTATATAAAGCGAAACTGCAATGCCTGGGTCTGAGTCTCATTATTTGTAGCTCCACAGGCCTTTCTTCTACACCTGTTCTGAGGTGCGTCTGAGAGCAACCTGTTTTGGTGCTGTCTCTTTAAATGCAAATGAGGCGCTTTTGACCACGCCCCCATTCAGGTGACACAGGTTCAACTCCACCCCGAGCGGCCATTTTTGTAGTTTCTAAGCACAGATACAATTATCTCATAGAAACTTCTCATTACATCGCAAACATGAAGCAGTCCTTCCTCATTGACTGAAAGCAAATGTTAAGTTTCATTCTTAGTCCAGTCTTATTATCGACTCTTCTCTTTTTAGCTTTGGGATCCATGCGCACAGTCAAGGCAAGGAAAGGCAAGTTTATTTATATAGCACAATTCATACACAAGGCAACTCAAAGTGCTGAACAAAATATGAAAACATTAAAATCATAAATAATCACAGAACATTAAAAAGAAAGATACGAATATAAAATCCCTCAGTTGTAGCACAGCTAAACAGAACTGTCTTTAACCTGGTTTTAAACATTGTCAGAGAGGAGGCCTGTCTCACATCTTCAGGAAGACTGTTCCAGATTTTAGCAGCATGAATCTGAAAAGCAGCCTCCCCATGTTTAGTTCTGACTCTGGACACTAACAGGAGTCCAGTCCCTGTGATCCTCAGAGTCCCAGCAGGAGTCCAGTCCCTGTGCTCCTCAGAGTCCCAGCAGGAGTCCAGTCCCTGTGCTCCTCAGAGTCCCAGCAGGAGGCCAGTCCCTGTGCTCCTCAGAGTCCCAGCAGGAGGCCAGTCCCTGTGCTCCTCAGAGTCCGGGCTGGTTCGTATGGTACTAACATGTCACTAATATATTTTGGAGCGAGGCCATGGAGAGACTTGTAACAAGCAGAGCTCACATGCCGGTTTGTTTA